CCCCTTACCGACCAACTTCGTGGAAATGCGAAATCCATTAATCTAGATGACACTACCCGAAAAGCATTCTCCACGGTTAAGGAACATATCGCCCGAGCAGCAATGCTTGCTCATCAGGACCCTAAAGCGCCCATTAGCATCTCAGTAGACGCATCTGACTCAGCAATCGGAGCAGACTTACAACAATGGGTTAACCACTCCTGGCAACCTTTGGCATTTTTCTCTAGACGGTTGCTAGACACTGAATCGAGGTACAGCACATTCGGTAGGGAACTCCTAGCTATGTATTGTGCTATCCGGCATTTTCAACACTATATTGAAGGCCGTGAATTTACCATTTTTACCGACCATAAACCACTTACCTTCTCCTTAAGCTCTTCTTCGGACAAGTACTCACCACGTGAGTCTCGACAACTGGACTACATTTCGCAGTTTACTTCAGATATTCGACACATTTCTGGAGCAAACAATGTAGTTGCAGACGCCTCGTCTCGTATAAATTCCTTGAACAGTTCCCAAGGAATCGACCTTTTAAAACTCGCCCAACTTCAAAAAGAAGACAGTGATCTTCAGCACGAGTTGGCCTCAACAACACTTAAACTGCGCATTAAACAGATGGGAACAGGTAAGGAAACCTTACTTTGTGACACATCTACAGGTAGGGATCGCCCAATCGTGCCGAAACAATATCGACGCAACGTCTTCAATACGTTGCACAGACTTTCTCATCCAGGTGTTCGTGCAACCATCAAGCTTATAGCAGAACGGTTTTGCTGACCTGGTATGAATAAAGATGTGAGGGAGTGGGCACGCCCCTGTGTAAGCTGCCAGAAATCTAAGGTTATTAGGCATAACAAATGTCCCTTAGGCTCGTTTAAAACTCCCGATGCTCGCTTCGATCATGTTCATTTGGATTTGGTAGGACCTTTACCAGATTCGAATGGATATTCTTATCTTTTAACCTGCGTAGACCGTTTTACCCGATGGCCAGAAGCAGTACCCATCAAATATATTACTGCTGAAACAGTGGCCCGCGCCTTCGTCGAGAGGTGGGTAGCAAACTTCGGCTGCCCAACAACCATTACTACAGACCGTGGACGTCAGTTTGAATCTGAACTGTTCCGTTGTCTTACCATGAAACTAGGAATCACTCGCTTTAGAACGACGGCCTACCACCCACAAGCAAACGGATTAGTAGAACGTTTTCACCGACAACTAAAAGCGTCACTATCAGCCTCAAAAATTTCTCAGTGGACTGACGCTCTTCCACTCGTCTTACTAGGCATACGCAATGCAGTGAAATCTGATATTGGATACACTGCATCTCAACTCGTTTATGGTACGACCCTTCGACTTCCAGGTGAATTCGTGGACCTTTCATCCTCTTCGATGGACATGGATCTAACCTCCTACGCGAACAGGCTTACAAACGCAATTCATTCAGTTAAACCTGTTTCCACTCGACCACAATCAACTGATGTTTTCGTTCAACCTGACTTACGACATAGTACACACGTTTTCGTGCGTCGAAATTCGCATCGACGAACTCTCGAATCAACATATGAAGGACCTTTCCAAGTTTTTCAACGCGAATCTAAGTACTATATAATAGATAAGAACGGAACCAACGAAAGCATCAGTATCGATCGTCTCAAAGCAGCGTATATAGAAGGAAATCCTATTCACGTCGATTTTCCTTCAATACAATCGCACGACACAACTCCTGCGCTTATAATGCCTCAATCGACAGCAGACACACACGTTGATACTGCGACAGTATCCAATAATAAACTCAAAACAACGCGTTTTGAAAGAACAGTAAGATTTCTAGAACACTTGAACGATTACTGCACGTAAGACACAAGTTAACATTTTATATCCCCTCGATTTTCCCTGGTACTATATATAATTTTTTTTAAAAAAAATAACGATATTATAAAAATCTTATTTTACGCTACTACGTGAGCATGAGTTTGTTTTCATTTTTCTTCGCCCGTTTTGTGTTTTCACGCGCGTACGAGTGTTTTCCGACATGCACTTACTTATTTTTCTTTTCTTTTCCAGGACGACTGGAAAAGAACGATGAAGTTGCGAAAAACGAAAATCTGCATTGTACCTTTTTTTACTATATTGTACATCATGGTCCATTTTAGTAAAGAAAGACGACCAGACGCTGCTAAACCTAGCAAGCTATCAGAAGAGTGTTTACCAACGAAAATCTCGTTGAGTTTAAACTTCTGGCTGGCCACGTCTTAGGGTCATCACTACCCCACTAGGGGGGGAGTGATCTGTAGCGGTAAATAATTCCCCAAAATCAAATAGCTCTGTAAGTTTTCGACATTGGATGCTGACCACAGTTTTAGTGGACTCATCTAGCTGAAGGCGCTCGGTCAAGCATCCGCACCAGATCACGCGTGGAAACGCCGTGCTCAACATCTGCCTCAATCGCTAGCCAGATTAGTGCAAACGATCCTCGATATATTGATAGCTTATCAAATATATCTTCGATCTCCTCGCTTCTGTCTTTTGATTTTACTTGGTGGGTGCGCTTCGTACTAGAAGGTGTTACTGATTAAAGCGTTGTCAAACTCCGAATACCCGTGGCATCTTCATTCTCTTTCGAAACCTATCATAAAAGGCCGAATCGACCAGGGAATTTTAGAGATCCTGTAGAACGAGTCGCTCGATGGCAAGGATGTCTGAAATAAAATATGTAACAGTTCACCTAATGAGAAGGTAAATAACGACGAAGCACACAGAATCTGCTACTTACATGTTATTTCATCACTGAATACAGTCGAAAACTCAAGGTGATACTCAGCTGTCTCACACTTAAGCAATCAATCAGGACAAAATCGATGATTTGTAAATTCAGACTTCGCGTCCATCATCTGAAAAGATACACTGCGCAATCTAGGAAGATAGATATCTACATTGGAATAAAATGGATGGATTGAAAATACTTCCAAAATCTTTCATTTAACATGTTGCTGCAACATCATCCGTACGTGAATTCTTCACCCTATTTCATATATGTTAACATTAATTCAGAATATATGTAATGTCTCAATATTAATCAAATTGTTCCATTAGACTTTTATTCTTTGACTCTGGCTAACATTTGTCTCTAACGTTTCATATAATTGTTGTATTATCCCTAGCTGCTGACAATATGGGCTTATTCAATTGAGCTCAAGAATGCTTCACACGATGATAGATTATTGCTTTTCTTAGACTACCTGCTTGTTGAGATATTTTTTTATTTAGTTGCTAGACTTTATATATTCTTTGATAATTTTAATTTTAACTACGACCTTGAAGTCCAAACAAGTTTTCTGGACGAAACGCTCGACCTCTTTAAATTTCAGTCACCGACATTATTGAAAATATAATTTTCACAATTAGTGTAGCCATGAACCTTTTGTACAGTTCCACTCGACATTTTTTTAATTCCCAAAAAAGAAAATATATATGTGAATTACCTGTTATGAAATTATGTTAATTTACTGATACAATCATTTCGACAAACATGCTAGGACAGCACATTGTCGGCACACTTTTGTTTGATGTAAGTGAGTGTGCTAGTTAAGAATGGTATGCACTTGTTCTGCCAGAAGTGATTTACGAGAATTTGTTAATATGGGATCTATTATTAGCGGCAGTTAGTAGCTTTCCTAATCAAAATCCACGAAAACATGGGACAAGGAGAACAAAATAGTGATGAAAGTGGTAGAAACGAACTGCAGCAGTGAATAAATCCCTAAAATCAATAGATCTATAATTTTTGATATTTGATGCTGACCGCATTAGTTTTAATGGACTCACCTATCTGATCATACATCCACATCAGATCACGAGTGAGTAGGCCGTGCTTCACTTCTCATACAACCGCTAGCCAGCTCAGTTTAGTCACTCTTTGATATGTCAATATTTTATCAAATATATGCTCGAGCCTCATCGTTTCTGAATTCTGATATCACTGGGTTGGTACATGTTGTGGTGGACCAGAAAATATGCTAACTCAAAAAGTAATAACATAACTTTAAGGACAAATAATAATATTTATATGTGTAAGTTAAATATTATAAACACAACAGAAATGAGGAACGTTACTTGGTTCACCAGGTTAGTGCGCGTTCTGATTTGATCTGGTACCAAATATTCACAATTATATATGGTTAATAATACCAGTAAGTTTGATGAATTCCACAGTTATATGATCCAATGTAGGATATGATATATTCCAATTATAGTCTATAAAGGTAGATAGTAGTTGACTAAGACTTCGGTTAACACAACCACAAGAAAATGTAGAATGAGAAGTATGTGCGCAACAATGTTGTTAACAGTCAACAATGTGTCATGTTACGTGTGTGACACAACAGAAGAAAGTGAGTTCAAGGTCATACACTTAAACAACAAGTACAATCGGCTGACAATAAATGTACAGATTGTGAGAATTGGCAAGATAAATGCAAAAGATATCACAAAACTATATACAAAACCGGTTTCTTAAGTCAATTTCTATAATGTCGATTATAAAAGTTGTTACTGGTTAAGGTTATGTCAAACTCCGAATACTTGTGGCATCTCTAAAGTACTAATACCCTGAAGAGTAAAAAATTTCAACAGAATGCTATCCCCTCATCACAATAATAATTGCGAGAATAAACGCAAGTTATTCGACATACCATCTGCAGTACTTAAGTTTGGATAACAAAGTTGTGACTGATCAGAAGAATACAAATACCAAAATAACGGCGAATTCGTCAGATCAGGGCAAGATTAAGTCGATAATGTAGAAATAATAATGCACAGAATAAAATTTGTACATTACTAGTCAGTCATTTTCAGTGTATTCGATTCCGTCGAAAATAACTAACTAGTCTGAAACAAAAGCAATGATTTGAAAAAAAAATTGGCGTGATGATAACGATTATTGATAAAATGAGCTAGTGTTAAAAATTTTCACAATGTCATCTCGAATATTGAAAAGTTTTGAGCAGTCTTTCGAAAATTGAGCTACCATTAGGTATATTGCTTTTCATGGGTTTTTAATATTCTACCGTCATTTAACACATTATATTTTCATCTGTGTTAAAAGCTCGAAGCTATCTTTATCTGGACTGCATTTTCCAAGGAACCTGATGTATCAGGGCATTACGTTGAGCAGATTGTTGAATTTTAAAACCTTATAATTATAAGGTTTGCATACAGACATGAGTTACATCCTAGCCATTAGCTTATAGTTTTGACAGTCTTACAACTTCAATTTGCTTGGTGATCAATAAAGTGTTAATAATGTCCCCTTAACATGTATCGTTTTTCCAGTTATTAACTGTAAAAAATACTAGCAGTGACCTGCCGTTTACCTTTGATAAATTTAGCGTTTGTACCTAGTATCCGATAATTATAATCTGGGATATTAGTAAATCGATTGGTGCGGTTGGTGCTGATGTTTAGGAGGACGTTGAAAGCCTCAACAAAATTATTATTAACGAGGACACCAGAAAATTCCACAAACCCAGAACAAATTATTTGTCTGATGACTGTTGACTTTCCCGTTGGAACATCAACCAGTAGAATTCGCTACCTCAGCACGCGATTGAAGCTCGTCTTTCGATTCTTACAAAAGAAAGTCGGGTCAACTTAGAGAACATCATTGCCACGACTAGCACAGGCCATCAAGCCTTCTGTTCTTTCCAAACTGAAAATTAAACTAGCGACTTATTATGTACCTCCCATTTCTCATGCGTCTTGAACCCTTCCTAATTTCCATTTTCCATGTAACTTTGTGTAACATCATCTAAAAGCACCTTTTCTCTATGGATATAGCGGATACTATCTTTTATATTCCAGTCCCCTGAGCATTCTGTCATTATTTGTGTGATATCATTGTATCTAATCAAACGGAAGTGATCATTTCGTTTCTCTCCTTGATTGACGATGTTGGAGGTTAGTTCTCTGCATAAAATTGAGCTTCAAAATCCTTAGTGTGCAGCACCTGGAGTTGAGGATGCTAACGTATGGGGTCTCATAAGTTTAAAGAAAGGTGATAAAAAAGCCCAGAGGAAAATTCTGAATGAGTTCCATCGACACAACAAGGTGTTGAATGAAACTGATGAGATTCAGGATGCAAGACAAGCCAGAAGGATAGCTTTCAGAGGAGTTAAACGTCAGCTTAATCTCTGGAAAGGCCCAGTTCACAAAAATCGGCTTGCAGAACAAATCGTTTTTCCAATAAATGACAGAGAAATCGTTATGTCAGCCTCCCAAGAGGCTGCAAAATTGAAAGAGCAAGTTTATGTTAAGGATACCATAAAAGATTCGACAAATTTACAGGGGAAATTATATAACGCACTGTATAAAGATATGGACACAAGGTTAGTCTTTTTTAATTTTGTTAGTTCTCAGTACACCTCAGGAGGAAATTCCAGAAAAGGCAGCAAAGGTGGTTTCCAAGATGCTACTGGAAAAGATCGCTATGCGTGACCGAGAACGTTTCTTACTTGCTCGAGCTGCTGCTCGTAACAAGCGTCAAAATAAAATTAAAAGCAAACGATTTCATCGTCATTTGAAGGCACGTACTATGAAGGAATATGAAAAAGAAACGGAGTCATTACGCCTCAATAATCCTCGGAAATTTGCTGAGCGTCTTCTCAGTGCCGAATTAAGTAGAGTCAAAGAAAGAGCCAGTCTAAAACATAGAGGTGGTAGTAAGTTTGCAAAATTACAGAAGTTGAGAGCAAAGTATGACTCTGAGGTAGCTAGATGTTAATCTTACTTATAATTTACCAGGCTAGAGCAGCTGTAGCAGACATGCACGAGTTATCTAGGGAGACCACAAGAAGAACTGATCCCGACCTTCTATCTGATACTGATGAATCTGATGTGTCTTTATCATCCGAATCTGAGGGGGAGTCAGAAGGGTCTGATTTCAATTTAGACGACGATGCCGATGAGGAAATAAATGGAGTTACTCAAACCCTCGGTTGGTGGAAAAAGGTAAAATGTGATCCGTTTTCAGCATATACTAGCTGGTTAACGTATATTTTTGCAAGACATGAATATTTTCGCTCGCTTCGCCCTAGGAAATTCACTAAAAATAACGGAGTATATATTTAATGCATATATTGGCTACGCCATGGTTTAGTGGTACAACTTTCGACCACCAGGCCGTAGGTCCGAACCCTATTTCGTCTATTTTGGTTTGTGAAACCGGATGGCACAATTACTCATCACAGTGTAGCTTGTAGCTAAATTCTTGATGAATAAGCTAACAAGTGCGTTCTCCAATCAACCCTTCCACTTATCCGAAAAGCTACAGTCTTTCCGAAATCTCATGTTAGCAGGGATCACATATTAACCATATTTCCTGTGGTTATTTCTCCACTACCGTTGTTATTAATTTTTTGATTCTCATCTTGTTAATTCTCCCGTTGTGTTGAAGCTTGACAACTCGAACTAATATATATCTATACCTTTTTCCGCACTTTATATGATTGTCTAATATTATGGTGCTTACTTTCTTTAGTCAACCAGTTCATTAGTTTTCTGTGTTTGTGTACGGTTGCATCATACAATAGTACAACTATAATAGGTTTTCGAAATCTTCGTGAAGATAATTTTGTCTTAATGAATAATTCACCTTCGTGCTCTACAGTTTAAGTTTAGCGAATGCAATTGAACTTGAAACTGTTTCCTATTATATGCGTAACCTACCGCTGACATCGCGTAGTGTAATTATGACGAAATATACCTTGTTTGTGTAGTTTAGTTCACATAATACGGTCAAAAGTAAAAAGGTGCATAAATATATCCTTATGGCTTTCTCATTTGATTACTGTAATTTAAAGTTATTGATAAGAGTTACCTACACAATGCATAACTTTTATGGACCTCATAGGTTAAACAATTCTTGTATTTTGCTTTTCTCTGTGTGGCTCCTAACTTCTATCTACGACAAAATCCAACTTATCCGACTTAGTTTCAAATCGGTATTCGTTTCGCAGTGTCAGTATTTAAACTCGAAAATACCCAGTCATGTTTTCAATAAGTGATAAATATGTATTATAGTTCACTTTCATATATATTTGGTGCCCCTTTGTACCAATATTTATGTGTTCAAATAAAATAAAATAATTGAGTGGTCATAAATGTTCTCAATTATTTTTTATTTTAGAGCTCAACCAAGAACAAATCGAAGACCGAACATCAGACAACTGTTGGAGCTGTGCTTTCCACTCAGGCAGCTGAAGAAGTACTAGAAAAATATGAAGTCAATCAGATGATTTTAAGTGAACCAGTAGTGTGCAATACTAGTGTGACTGCAGAATCAGATGTAGTTGATCCCAATTCAGAAGGGTTTTTCCAAGCACTTCAAGAAAGCTTTGCAAATGATCCTGCATTACAACAGAAGTTTTCCGCAGAGAAATCTGAAACTATAAAAGATGAGGCACCTCAAGATATTGATACATTTCTGCCTGGATGGAATTCCTGGACAGGTCCAGGAACTGAAAAAGCTGATGAAAGAAAGCGGAAATTTAGAATTATACCTGCTCCTAGAGTAGAACGTGAGGATGATAAAAAACCTCACGTAATCATCAAACGGCGTGTAAATCAAGACTTCAAGCAACACCTGGTATGTCATATATATATATTCATGAATTTCTTTGGTTTTCTGCAATCGTCTGTTAATTTTTTTCACTTCAATCTTTGCTAGGTAAAAACTATTCCGTTCCCATACAACACACCAGAACAATTTGAAGCTTTTATCTCTCAGCCTATTTGTAGAGAATGGACAACAGAACTTACACATCGTGAACTAACAAGGCCCAAAGTTACAGTTCAGTCAGGTCGTATTATCAGACCAATATCAAAGTCTGCAGCCTTACTACGTGATAAAGATATAGAGCGTTTTGTTAGACAAAACAAGAACTCTTAATATCCTGTAAATTACTTATCTTTTACATTGTAATATGAAATATAACATTCGTAGATTGTTCAGTGTTATTTAAGGTAATTTAATTATAGTAAATGTCCTGAAAAGCTTTTGCCGTAGTGGCGAGTTGATTGACGTATGTAGTATTAAACATGTAGCTGTTAATGTCCGCTGAGTGATATTCTGAAGTAACAATTACTTCGATTATGGAATGTAATGGTTTTAAAATCGAAATGGATCCTATATGAACTATTAATCATGACGTTGCCGCATTAATGTACACCATTGGCAACATGTAGAATGCGTTTGTTTTGTGTGTTACATCGAAACTCATCAAAAAGTGGACACTTATAATTACGAAAATGTGAGTAGTGGTATTCTTATGTGTAATCAAAGGATTTTAGGTGGGAAGTTGGGTAGTAGTTAATCTTTCGAAAATTAGAATAATTATTGGGCAAGGAAATTAACATGACGAATCAGCGGTTCAGTTGCAAACAAGGTATAATTATCTGAATATTAATCAAACATACTGTTCGATAATAATGACCGACCAGTGTTGTCCGACTTTCGACGATACTGTTAACTGAGCTTAGTCATATCAGGAGTAAGATAGTTATCGTCACTTACAGTGGATAGTCATCGCGCTACTTCGCGAACTGATTAAAGTTACGATTACGGATTTTTCAACCTCAAATTAATTCGTCCAGTAATGTGCGAGACTTGTAGATCCTCGGTTCGATCTTTTAAGACAACAAATAGCAATTATTACAAAACAAGATGGCTTTTGACTACCCTAAAATGCAAACAAATAAGGTTAAGAGGAACCAATATTGCCGACTACTTATACTTCGAAAAACTCACAGATGATATAGCACCAAATTTTTGGGTTCACATTATTGCCTTCATTAGTTTAACCTAGTAAGATATTGTGTAAATGCAGCTTGGTATGAAGCAAGATGTACCTCCATAAAATATTTTTCTTGGCTGTTCCGTTTAATAGAAATATATTAGAAGAAATCTGCATTCTATTTGATATGTACATTATACTTCTATCACTTCAGCAAGTAACTAGTCAGAGTCAAGTTTGTATTGTTTGTTCCATAAACTTAAGTTTTCATCTGATTGGATAACCCACCATTTTTTTCGGATCTGTTTTGACTATATTTTGAGATGTTTCAAGTATGTAGGTCTTTTTGTAGTTACCGAAAACAACATGAACATAAAAGTAATAATTTGATACTCACTAGTTTTATTTAACTTATAAATAATCATATTAACGAAAATAGACCCATCGTTACCCGAAATATAACTTGGCTCTTCCCTGTATTTTAAATAGTTCTGATAATCCCTTTAAGAATTGTATCATTTTTTTAAAACAGGAAGGATTGTCTAGACTGTAACAGCTTTCGAATAAAGCTATTTTGATTGAACTTCAATGAAGTATAATTGGTAATTAGTAAATTCAAGTAAATTGTTTTTATATATTGAAAACGCTAGTTTAGAATTTTGTCATATCTAGAAATCTCGATGTAAAGAGGAATTATTGTGTTACAAGTACATTAATTTATCTAATATGCAATGTTTTACTAGCAGTGGGGTGGAGAAAGCGCGTCTCGTCCTATTTTGGACTCGTCAACTGGGTGTACCTGCATCTGATTTGATGTGCACTTTGGGACTCAAACCCAGTAGCGTTCGCTTCAAACGCCATCGCGTTATCCACTCAGCTACCGAGTCTTATATTCAATGTTTAGAGTAATCAAAAATCAACTTTAAAATTTATTGATACATTCTAAGTAACATAAGATTAAAATGAAAAAAACAATAAGAATATTAAAATTATCTAGATGGTGCATAAAATAACTTGAATAAACATGATAATTTAAAATAAAAATATTATGAATTCAGAAAAGTTGTTTGGAGAATAACAGCATGCGATGGGATATATCTGTTCGTTTGATTAAAGGTTTCAGTAACTGTTCAAATTATGCGTCTGTATTTTACTTGACAGCTTTTTTAACATTATTTTGAAATTGACCGGTGACATTCCCTGGAGGATGATACAAACAAACTAAAATCAGTTTCGAATCTTTATGCAGGTCCTCTCCTGATTTGTAGGATTGACTTGCAATACCAACTCCAATCCTTTCAGAACTTGACCATACAATTTGAGTAAAATTACCTAGAGCAATTAACATGATCGGTAATAAATACAATTCTACGTAACAACTTAATCTTTTAGTTCACAGATATAAACAAATACAATTTCGATATAAATCATTGGTACTAACCAATAACAGGAAGTGATGGTGGAACAAGTCATGTGATGGCAAAGACTTTTCATTCAATCAATAAGCAGCTACATTTACACCGTGAAACTGAGAAATCCACTGTTTCGCCCATTAAGTAAATCCTAATGTCAATATATAAACCCATCGAAAGAGAGCAACGCAGGCATTTTTTTATAATATATAACCCAGATAACGTTAGGTGAAAAATCCTAGTGCTATTGTGACCTTGGGAAACCGAGATGCAGAAATACATTATCTTCGGGGCCATATGTGAGACGAAATTACTGGCCACTGGTGAAGACAAGGAGGTCTCAATGTAGCTGGTTTGGAGGACAGTAGTTCATCACGAGACATAATCCTACCTACGGTAGTGAAGTAAAAACCCTTTAGTGTGTTGATGCACTTGCTTAGTACACTTTTCAATGACATACATGATGAAAAAACTTCTTGACTAGCTTAAACATGTAGGTGACAGATGCTTTTCGTTCGTCGTATCTTATCACTCAGACTATAGAGAGAACTTAAGAGACCTATACTAAGTTAACTATTAATGTTAGCCCTCCGACAATATACTCAGAACAAAGCAAATGAGACTTGAATAATATTAACTAGGTTAACGAAAAAAACAGGTTAAAAATTCTCCAGACTAATTGTTTTCTAAACTACAAAAATACCATTGAAGAGGATTTTATATTTATGCAAATATAGCAATAGGGCTTACGTGAGTATTTATTCAAGTGTAAAATAAGTGCACTTTCCATTTTAAACTTATGATAAAAGTAGCAAAATTCTCAATAAAAAAGCTGGTTAAAATCGCCCCCAAATGCCCTGGTACGGCCGAGAGTGGGGAGAGTCCGCTCTCCCTCTCGAAATACTCTCACATGGTCACGCGTATATAGCCTCTGCCACGGAAGTCCTACTCACTGCCTTCACGTGGCGGGGGTGTTGCTTACGAAAATGAGAGGACGATGTTGGGGTATTCAGAAAATACCCCAGAAATTATCTAGTGCCCCATTGGTCAACATTCTTCCAACGTGTCATTTCCCTATTGGTCAATATTTATTTGTGTCATTTCCTGAAGGTTAAATCTTGTACAAATGTTACTTTCTATTTTATGGTACGATGTAGTCTGTTTGATTGCCATATAAACAGAGTATGTTTAAAATATAATGATTCATATCTCCGAGGCTGAGACTTGTGTTCTGGACTCAATTGGCTAGGCTAGACAGGAAAGCAGGACTCTAGGCTGCTCGCTCGTGTTTTATGCGTCACTGTATCGATCGACAATAGGCTGCACTCTAATAGGCGGATCACACGTTATAACAGACGAAAAGCGAATGTCCGGCGCTTTAACCGGATCCAAAACCAATGGAGCACATGGGCGCCAGTATCCTGACGGAACAAATGGAGTATGAACCAATCGTTGGTCACCGGCTACCATGGGACTGCATCTCCTTACGACGCTCCACTGCCTTGTGGATCAGGTCGAAGGCTCGGGGTGTGGCCCCCTAAGAAAACCACCTGCTTCGGTTTGGGCACCCGGGCAGTATCACAGCCCTCACACATATCAATTGATATCTGCGTGGCGCATATGTATTTGGTGCCTCCTTGTACCAATATCTATGTGCTAAAATAAAATAATAAATCCAATCAACTAAATTAGATTTGAAATGGTTTTGGATTATCCCGTTGTTTATATTCTCGACTGGAACTTGATCAGTCTTGGTTGGCATATGGGCATCTTGTGTGTGTTGCTTTGATATAACCATTATGACACAATTTGGTACACAATAAATAGAACGCGGCTAGCATTGGAATCCAGGATACACGTTTCGTCCTATTTCGAACTCGTCGGTAGGATGTACCTGCATTACAGAGTTGATGATCACTCCAGGGACTCGAACCCAACACAGTTTTTTTCAAATACAATCGCATTGTTCAGGTGATGCGTCAAAAATGGGACAAAACTCTTGTCGCAATACTAGCTATATTCCATCTACTCTACAACTAGATTAAAGTTCATTGCTCTAGGATAATTACACAAAAAAAAATTAACTGAATGATAAGGTTCTAATATAAATAAGAAATTTGGTAATGATATTGCTTCAAACAACATTCATGAAATGAAAAATCTTTTGATCATAAAACACGATTAAAATCATGATGCATAAATCTGTGAAAACTATAGATTTCGCAAAAATTTATCAAAATACATAAATCACACGATTATAACAGAATATAAAGTCATCAAATTCATACAAATTACCTATACCCTGGATACTATCTGGCTCAGAGTTAAACTTATATTTTTCCGATTCTTGATACCAATGTTCAATTAGGTCTTTACCTTGATAAAAAAGAAACATGCTAAAATTCTTTAACAACATAAACCTAAATATATCTTTCTTTTAAAAAGTAAATTTCTTAATGCAAATAAAAAGCTTATGTGGAATACCATACAATGTAACATGATTGTCAGAACTATGTAAGTTATTAAGGCAATTCGTTTCAAACAATCTGATCAAAAATGTACTTGTTAAAATCATTCATATATGAGAAACAAAAGAATGTTAAAAATGATATGAAACTCACCACGCTGGATAAGTAAAACATTATTACCAGGGTAGGTTTAGAGTGAGAAAAAGCTGTCTTTGAGCTAATAAAAAGAGTTGAAATTCTCATTTGACCAAGGTTCTAAAAACTTAAGAATATTCCCTAGACAACTTTTGTGCAAAAACACAAAGGTTGAGTTAAGATCAATCCTATAACCTGTTTCAACTAACTGTTTAGCAATAGACGACGACGGATGTTTATCATTTGGTTTGATTATGTCATTTGATTTTATTAGTTTCTATAGCCATTTCGGCAAATGTTGCAAATCACGGTTACTCCTCTCCACGTATATGTAGCCACAAACTTACATGAGATTAGATTACTTCATTTATTTACTTAAACATAAATATTGGGACAAAGCAGCACCATATTACATATACGGCACATGATAAAAATGGTATTGTGAAGAGACAGAAAGTTAAGTATAATAAAAAGAACAAAAATGAATGGAAATTAGTGTATGAGAGTGAAGTAAGCATAATAATAATGATAATAATAATAATTATTATTATTATCATTATTATTATTATTGTAAGGATGGAAGAAGCAGTCCAAAGTTTGAAAAAACTCCTATATTGTAATTTAAAACAAGATATATAAGCCAACAATATTGTTTTCGATTAGATCCTCATCAGGCTTTACTCTAATATACAGTAACATTTATATGCATATACGAAATAATTAAACCAATCAAAGTAGTTTATTAGTCAATGGTAGCAATAGAATATATTACATAAATAAACATAATAAGTACAAATGCAAAGTGGTAGTGTGATGACAGGTATACCAGTTTTGATAAGGATAATAAAGGCTTAAGTCAATGTTACATAGAACGACAGAGCAATGGGTTCACCTCTAGTTCCTATCCTTGCGGAATTTTTTCTCGCGAAACTAGAAGACGGACCTTTCAAAAATGCTATTGATAAGCTTGACTCCTACTGTCGTTACTTTGATGACACTTTTATTATTGTCGATCAGAACATTAAAAAAGAATTACAAGCATCCAGCAATTAAATTTACAAGTGAAGCGAAACTCGATAATAAACTACATTTCCCTGGCGTTTTGTCAGACAGAAAAGAAAATGGTTCTATCAGTAGAAGTGTGTTTAGAAAAAGCTCTTCATCAAGCCAACACACACATTTCGTAAGCTTTGTACCCCTTCATTATAAGAGAAACTTAGTCAAATGTCTGGCAAATAGAACTATTAAGATATGCTCATTCTATACAATTAATAAGGAAATTAGAACTCATACATAATATGTTGATTGAAATAGGTTATCCACAGGGTTTCCTGAAGAAACACTTGCATGTAATGAATAAGACAATAGCGACACCAACGGCTACTAGGAAACCTCTCTTCTTGAAGCTGTAATTCAATGGAGATGTAGCTGGTGATGTACTACGTGATAGACTGATTAGTGCAGTGAAGAGAACGTTTAATGCAGCCAACCTCTGTCTATAGTATTCGACCTGATCTATGGTGATTCCCCAACTAAAGGATAAGCTACCTGGTTATGCCACTTCTATGTGTATCTACGAATTCGATTGCTTTTGTGGAGAAAGCTATATTGGGTGCACTACCAGACAACTGGACCAAAAAGTTAGTGAACAGCTCCCTTTGTGGTTAGGAAAAGGTACTGTCAAGACAATACGCAGCTCGGTTCTATTACACTTGATCGATAGTGGTCATGTAGTAGACAGAAATATGCCATTTAAAGTTATCGGTCGTATTCCTACTATTTTCCTTATGGTGTTCGATCTCATCTCTTACACACAGCGGAAGCTATAGGAATTCGAGCCAACAATCCAAGTCCTTGTGTTCATAAGAAATTTGTAACACCCTTATCTCTCTCATGACCTTAACAAGTGGTTTTATTTATAATTAATTTCCATTCTCTTTCTTCGTTTATTTTTCTTCACACCCTCTCACCCTTTTCTTAAATATACGCTTCAATCATCACAGCACTTCTTATTACGTAATCTCATAATCTTTTTATGAATGCTATTTCAGTGTCTGTATTTTTCTAACCATTGACCTATTTCCGATTATGTAACATTGGTTTAAACCTTTATTCATTTACATTATCCTTTCGCTCGGTCATAGCAATAATTCACATCCTATCGATGGAACTTTCGGAAGTCCGTTTGAAAGCTAATCAAAGTGTAAGCAGTTACACTTACAAGAAGTGATCTAATTGAACCAGTGCCATTTATTTGGGCACATAATAGAAGACAATATGGAATGTGCACGTAAAAACGATGAAAAGTTGAAAAACCAATTTTACTTACAATTAAGTTCCATTGGTCCATTTGACCACCGACTACCCAAATTTTCACCGACTTTCATACCACGATATACATATCCACTATTGGACAAATGAGATTGTTGAAGCAAATGATTAGCCCATTGTTGTGCCATATTCGAAAGAGTCTGTCACAGAACAGGGAATGTGTGAAACTTCAGAATAAGAAATTTATAAGTGTAGATACTATTTCGTCGTTTAATGAATCTCAAGATACAGCTATAACTAAGATATGATCACGGAAGAAACGAAAATGAAATAAAATTACCTTTATTTTTTACGGTTTATGTTACTCAGTGACGGTTAATTCAATTCTAAAAATAACGCCCGGATTTTGAGATATACGGTGATTGGGGTGGGAAGAGAAAATAATATAGCCTTCTTGATTGGATATTTATACCTATCAAACTTCTGTTCACAATACAGAATGCCGAAACCGAAACCAAGTATTTATTATTCAATGAATTTTTGTAGTAGGTTGTAAACTATTTTGAGTAAACTACGGTGTCTTTCCGACTAAGTACATCAAACGATAGCTGATTCACCGAGATAAACTGGTGTTTTTCTATCACGTACTTAACCAGCGCTATTTAGCATAAAATGAAAGACTTTGCTGCACATAACGAAGCGTAGACAAATAGTACTATGTTCGAATCCAAGTTATATCTGATAAAATCTCGAACGAATTAACTGTATGGTCTTAACGATTAGATTTGGGGAGTTAGGATGGACAAACAAATTTGCTCCCGACACAATCAACTGGTTATTACCTTGCTTCTGTTATTCAATTTTTGAGGCAAAATCAATCTTAAATGTGAAACATCCAGGATGGAACATGTAAATTGAGACTAAGATGTAAAGAAACGTGTCTATAGTGGCTATATTTATTAGAAAAAAAAATGTATCATAAGAATTACGCACCTCCAAGTACTGCGATGACTTACATGATATTACCTTCATTGATAGGAATGATCAATGACGGACAATCTTAGGATATTCCCAGATTAGTGAAGTCAAGTTTTACAAAGACAGGAATAAAATTGTACATATTGAAGCATCTAACATCTGATAATTTTCATTCAATTTAACTTATGGAGGCGTCAATGACGATTCGGACTGGTATATTATGCACTGGGTTTTGTTGATAGAAAAGTGATTTCGTCTGTCACATTTCCATTAAAGTTCGCATGACTTCCAAGGCATCCAAACCTTTCAGATACTTTCGTCAGCCTACCACTAAGTTTCAAAGCAGACACCTTAAAACCCATTAGAGTGAAGGAAGCCGAACATCCTACTTAGACATTATAATTACCAAGTGATTTAATGAGATTTAGTTAGCCTTTATGTTATTATAAAGCGAGCCTTCAAAAACTATGTAACGCAGCTCATAATGTCCTCCGAACAGTGATTTACATCACCACTACACGCTTCAAGAGCCATTCGTGTGTCACATCCATTATATATCACTTACGCCTGTTAACCGTCGTTGAGGTGCATAGGCCGCCCACTAGCATTCTCCATCCAACTCTGTCTTGAGTAATACTTTCCAGTCGCTATTTATCCTTTTCATGTCTGTTTTCAACTCTCGAGGCAGTACGTTCTTTGGTTTCTCACTTTTCTGTTTCCCTCCAGGATTACAAGTTAGCGCTTGCTTAGTGATCCAGTTTGGTGATTTCCGTAATGTATGCCCACTTCCAACGACTTTTCCCGATTTCCTCTTGAGCTGGTAGCTGGTTTGTTCTCTTCCATAGCATGTTGTTGCTAAGGATACCCGGTCATTGAGTATCTTACATAGACAACTATTTATAAATACTTGTACTTGTTTGATAATGGTTGTGTTAATACTACTAGTTTCACCATCGTGCAGTAAAACTGTCTTAACGTTCCTATTGAAGATCCTGACCTTGATATTGGTTGACAGTTGTTTTGAGTCTCTTATGTTATTCAACTGTAGGAATGCTGTCCTTGCTTTACCAATATTTGCCTTTACGTCTGCATCACATATTCCGTATTCATCGATGATGCTACTCAAATACGTGAAAGTTTCCACCTCTTCCAGAGTTTCTTCATCAAATATGATTTGGTTGGTGTTCTTCGTGTTGCAATTGAGAAACTTGCTTTTTACCCTGTGTATATAGAGGCATACTGATGCAGAGGCTGCTGCCACACTAGTTGTCTTGACCTGCATTTGTTGATGTGTGCTTCGGTTTGGGCACCCGGGCAGTATCACAGCCCTCACACATATCAAATGAGATTTGTGTGGCGCATATGTATTTGGTACCTCCTTGTACCAATATCTATGTGTTAAAATAGATGATAGATAAATTGTATTCTATGTTCCTCCTTAGATGTGAAGGTCTTCATAATCCAGTAAGCCACTAGAAGAAATAGAAAAGGGGGAAGTAAGCAGCCTTGTTTGACCCCGGTCCTCACTTGGAATGCGTCTGTCAACTGTCCTCCACGCACAACTTTGCAGTATGGTCCGTCGTATGAATTCTGTATGATGTAGACGATTTTCCCAGGTACATCATATTGTTGAAGAATGCCCTATAAGGTTCTTCTATTCACACTGTCAAACTCCTTCTCATTTATTTATTATTATTTATTTGAACACATAAATATTGGTACAGGGGGGGGGCACCAAATATATATGCGCCACACAAAACAATGATTATATATATATATATATATATATATATATATATAAGTAGTGAACGTGGGGAATTATAAAAAAAAGAGGGAGAGAACAATGATGGGGAAAACGGAAAGGTACAATCAGAAGAAATCTTTCAGTTAAGGAAGATACAACCAGTTTTTATGAAGAAAGTAAAAGAAGGTTACAGCAGGATCGCCACTGGCTTCTATTCTGAGCCATATCTGAAAACGTCTCTAGCCACTGCGTTACACCGTCTCTCGGACCCCAGCCAGAGAGTCGTGAAGGACCAACAAAAGCCAGCCCTTTGCAGCTTTCTTTCATACCACGACACCATGTCATATACTGACCACCTCTCCGCTTTTTCCAACCAGTCCCAGAGTCGGCATATAATGCACGACGAGAAATTCTCTGGGACGACATTCGTAGAACATGTCCAAGCCACCGAAGTCGGTGTTTCAAGATGGTGACACCAATTGGATTATCGTCTCTGTGACCGAACTCACGATGACGGACCTCTGCATTACTGACATGGTGTTGCCACTGGATGCCAGCAATCCTTCGGAGACAACGATGAACGAACACAGAGAGTCGTCTAACATCCTCAACTCGGAGAGGCCAGGTTTCACAAGCATAGAGCGAAACTGCTGTCACCGACGCGTTGTAGATCCGACCTTTTACAGCCAGACTAACATCACGAAGGCGCCAAAGATGGCCCAGATTGGCATAAGCCGCTCTGGCTTTCACTATACATGCATTGATCTCATCACTCACACCACCACCAGCAATTATGCAGCTACCTAGATACACGAACTTCTCGACTACTTCTATCTGCTCACCGTCCAGAGTGAGTACAGGATTAGAATTCTGCCAATCTTGTAGAAGTACTTTGCACTTAGAAGGTGTAAAGCACATACCATACCTACGGACATTGATTGCCAACTGATTAAGTGCGGATTGCATGGCTTGAACATTCTCGCACAGTAAAACAATATCATCCGCATACTCAAGATCGAGAAGTCTTTTTCCAGGCAACAGATCCACACCACCATTACTTACATCCATCAGAGCTGTTTCCAGAATGTCATCGATGGCAAAGTTGAAGAGGAATGGTGAGATTGGGCAACCCTGCTTAACCCCACTGCTCGAATGGTATAATGGAGAAAGGTGGTTGTATGCCCTCACTCTGCCTGAGGTGTTTGTATATAAGGCTTTTAGGATGCTCATAAACTTCTCAGGCACACCCTTCTTCAATAGACAATCCCAGAGAACAGTCCTACCCAACGAATCGAAGGCAGCCCTGATGTCAAGAAACACTACGATTGTTGGCCTTTGATAAGTATGGCGGTGTTCTAACACTTGGCGGAGGGTGAAGATATGATCAATACATCCTCGACCAGAACGAAACTCAACCTGATCCTCGCGAGTCAATCCTTCTCGGGTTCTGAACAACCTACGAAGTATGACGGAAGCCAATAGCTTGGACTCAATCGGAAGTAGACTTATCTCCCGATAGTTGTTACAGGAACGACGTGAACCCTTTTTAAAGATAGGGACAACTATCGACTCATTCCATGACGTTGGTACACTCTCTAGTTCCCAGATCTTTGTAAACAACGTCGTCAGTCCCTTAGTCAGAAAGTCACCACCATCTTTAAAAAGAGCCGGAGGTAAGTCGTCTGGGCCCGGTGATTTGTAACGTTTCAAGAGTTGGAGTTCCTTGCGGACTTCCGCCTCATTTGGTGGATCAGTCGTCACCGGCCATGGAGGGCAGGACAGTCTGACCGATGTTGCCGGAGCAGTAGGCCAGTTGAACTGCCCTTCGAAAAGTTGTGCCCATCGTCCAAGACGTCGATGGATGTTAGTGATTAGCGTTCCGTCATCCTCGCAGATTGTTTCGCTCACACCAGACTTCTTGCTGCCAGTGGCTCGGATGAGTTGGAAGAGCTTCCGGTAATTACCAGATGCAGCTGCTGCTTCCAGCTCATTAGCACGCTCCGACCACCAGGCTTCACGGTCCTTACGCAAGCTTTGCCCGATTTCATTACGTAACATCCTTCGTCTGTGGTCAAACTCACGGTCACCCTGAGTAGACCGACGGGCTTCAATCAGTTGTAAGGAACCAGAAGAAACCTGGTGCTTGTAAGCGGGACGTTTCGCGAACCCACAACAGACTTGACCCGCCATTTTCATGGCGTCATGCAATTGAAACCAATGCTCATCTATACTTTTCGGTGGAATGGTAGATAGCTTAGAAGCTAGCTCGGTTCGGTACTTACTAGCAACAGAAGTTGCAGCCAGCTTGCTAACATCAATCCTTTGGTGGCGGTCACTTCGTTGTCCACTGAAAAGTAAGGTAAGATTGGCGCAGACCAGGGCATGATCAGATTCCAGATAGATACTCCAAAAGGAGCGGCAGTCTTGTACACAACCGCGCCAGCGGTAGCTGATCGCGATGTGACCAATCTGAGTCCAGGCTTGAGATGCAGAAGGGGGACAGCAGGTGGCACATCGGCGATGACTGTGCCGAAAGTTAGTGCTAGCCAGAAACAGGTTGTGGTCTGTGCATAGTTGCAGTAGACGTTCCCCGTTATCTGTTCTGCGACCAACAAGTCCCCATCGGCCACCTAAACGACTCTCTTCTGTGCCTAGACGCCCGACCTGAGCATTCAAGTCTCCGGCTAGTACTACAATATCTGTCGAATGCACTTTCTGGAGAAGAACAGTTAACTGGTGGTAGAAGTCATCCTAGATTGCATCCGGGCTGCAATTTGTCGGGGCACAGGCGGAGATGACGAAAATACATCGTTTCTCACGCCGATTTCTTCTCACTTTGATAGAACTTTCCGATCTAACAGCACATAACCGACTGTTAATGGGGATCCAGTCGATTAGTGCTGCCTCAGCTCTAGCGCTTAGTGCGACACCAACGCCAGCAAGACCAGACGAAGATGCCACAGGGTCTCCGGGTGAACGCACATAAAACAAGCTTTTTGAAGTGACAGATGGAGAGCGAACTTGTAGTAGTTCACTAGAGTCTTGAATACGGGTCTCGGATAGACAACACACATCAATATTAAGACTTTCTAAAGACATAGCCAGCCCTATCTGTTGTCCAACCTGCATAAACGTGCGAACGTTGAAGGCAGCCAGTTTGAATGGTGCACGTGGTTTCAGAAAAACTGCTTCAGTACTCGCATTCGGTGGTAACATACAATTTTCAACCAGGCAGTGACTCGAGAACGTTTAGATAAAGCTGAATTTTCACCATAGGCGAGCTGCTGTCTGAGTCGAAGCGGATACAAAAAGTAGAAATAGGAGATAGTGAATAAATGACGTCGTAAAATAATAATAATAATAATAGTACGAGTCATTTCAAAGTTAATCAGAGAGAAAGGAATATTTTCCATAAGCAAATAGTTCATGATGATTTTAGTACGTGGGCTGAGATACTGCCCGGGTGCCCAAACCGAAGCAGGTGGTTTTCTTAGAGGACCACACCCCGAGCCTTCGACCTGAAGATCTGATCCACAAGGCAGTGGAGCATCGTGAGGAGATGCAGTCCCATGGTAGCCGGTGACCAACGATTGGTTCATACGCCATTTGTTCCCGCAGGATACTGGAGCCCATGTGCACCATTGAATTGGGATCCGGTTATAGCGCCGGACATTCGCTTTTCGTCCTCTCATTTTCGTAAACAACACCCCCGCCACGAGAAGGCAGTGAGTAGGACTCTCTGGCAGAGGCTGTATACGCGTGGCCGTGTGATAGTATTTCGAGAGGGAGGGCGAACCCTCCCCGCTCTCGGCCATACCAGGGCATTTGGGGGTCAAGGAAGTTGATATATATATACATTCTGACTCATTAAGTGAATGTTAATGGTACTTAAGTACAACTGTAAAGCATTTGAAAACGTATTCATGGAAAAAATCTTATTCAGTAAAATGTACACTGAAATTTATTTACTAGGAAGGGGTTTCTTTTTCTATATGTTTAACTTCAGCATCTTTGGACTCACTACAAATGGAATTCATAAGATGTATTAAATCAGTGTGTAGTTTGCTACTTTCACATCAACTTATACATGACCATTCTACGAAACAAACTTGGGATATTCACGTCTCGCAGAAAGTGAGGATGACATAGTTATCTACCGACAGTAATGAATGGTTATCGTGTTATATTATGAATTGACTGAACTTTGAAATATGAACCAATTGATTCCAGTTCAGTGGTATAAAGCCCCCATATCAATAGCAAGCCTTAATAAAATTTTGAGTATTCTCTTTGTTTACAATTACTTATTTTAGAGATAACAAGTGAATAGTAAATATATCATATATCAATTATTCAGTAATAAAGTACAAAATGAAAACTATATTGACCTACTTGATCAAGTACTAGAGGATTGGAACCATGTTGACTACGATATTGATTATGAAGTTGAACAACTGAGTGAATGGATTCTTGGAGTTTCTTACTATTATCCTGTATAGAATGAAAAGTTATCACAAAATAATGTTATAAAGTTTCATATAACTGTTATATGTGCAAGGCGTAGATTAACCCGATTAAGAAAAAATAACTGATAGAGTCCTAGAATAATGAGATCTTATGAAAACGTAACAAAAAACAATAACGGAGATCAAAAAATTAAGGTATTTACACAAATGAGTAGCTTACAGTACACTGGGAGATCACTATTATTATTCCTAATATTACATAATCTTCATTATACAGAAAAGTACTTAAAACAACAGTACAACTAGATATGCTTCACGTGAAATGACATAATATTGTAGAGAAATAAAAGTGAGAATGGTCAGAAAATCAATAAATAAATAGGTATATTATTGATAAAAATATACAGTTGGAATCAGATCACAACTAAGATAGATTGCACTTAATTAGAAGAAGCAATTTACTAATTATGATGAACACGATAGTCACGGAAAGATCGCCAGTGTACTCAACTAAGAGTCATTTCCAATACTGTCTCAATTCCCTGAATTGCGTAAAAAATAAGGACCAGACAGAGTGCTAAAATTCAAACAGAGAGACGTGTACTTGTTTATTCGGTGAATATTGTCAACAGTTTTCCAAGATAAACTGTTCTCTGTAATTAACCTGGTACTCTTACTGAGAGAGCTTCACATTTGACACACCTCTCAAGTGGACCATTTATCCTATGAAAATACTGTAAAAGCCGTTGTTTATAACGACATTTAATAATACCATCAACATCAAGATAATAATAGTTTTGCAAAAATTGGTAGAGTAAATTAGCCATTCGGCAACTTTAGTGAAATACTTATCAAAAACTATTAATTCAAGTTGCTTATTAATCTTCTATTTTGTCATAAAGTATGATAAAAAAATAGACGTTTTAAAGCCTTCATATACTGCAATGAAATTTTTCTTCCACTAAACTGACCATATTATCACTTTTGAGTCGGCACTAAATCATAATCTAACTGATTTACAATACCGAGATACTTTCCATCATGGATTGACCCTAGCTGAGTGAGTTTTACAAAGCAATAAAAAACTTATCAGATGTTTCATCCCATTTTTTAGACTACTCAGTAGAACAGATCCATGATTTTACAGGATATTAAACTCGAGATCTTTAAGCCTCAAGGCACGCGTACTACATCCAGACTACTGGTTGCAAATCCAGCAGTAAACACCATCAATTTCATAATCTGTGAAAATAGCCAGTAAACAGGAAAAATTATAGAAATAACACGAATAATAGGGAAATGTTTTTTTTTAAATTATGTAATTACTATTAACCAAACTGTATTAAAAATGGAATCTTGTAAAAGCGTTTTTAAAACTCACAACTAAATGACCGTCTGGTGAAATACTTGATTCCACTTTTTTCTGCTCTTTACAAGCATCTGTATACACTTCGTTGACACATCTCCTTGTCTACATTAAAAGAAATTGACTCTTTAATACTTGTTTAAGCGCAAGAGTTACAAAAGTTGTTATTAATGACCACGTGAGACTAGGAAAAAATACAGTGAAGGATGCGATACATATAGTTAGAGAAGTGAAATGTAAGGGAGTTAACGTTGTAAAATTATTTGACAAGTTTATTAGTGGTGGAATAGAAATATAACAATATTGAAAAACATTACTATTTCAAAAGTCAATCCGCTAACTAATTTAAGCAATTAGTTAATTATTTGCTTATTATTGTATATCGATCATTTTACCCGCCCATATGGAGCGGACTATATTAACCGCACAAAGAGAGTTGTTTCAAAGCGCAGCTCTGAATATTATCCTGCCTAGCTATCTAAAGGACTACAAAGTCAATCTAAAACTTAATCCTGAAAGATCTAGTTAATTTTGATCACTCTGCTTCACCAGAGTCCTCCCTCAAAATTATTCATACAGTCAAAAGAATCGGCTCAAAAAGAATACAAACAGAAAAAAAATGCACAGTAGAGGCTATGGCTATCCAAAGATTCAAACGTCACTCTTGTTTATAAAAACAGTATGTTCAATCACTCATCCTACCATGGTTTTAACCTTTCTTTTTGTCTTCTATAATCCATCACTTTTTTCTACTTTCTAATCATTTTTTGCAATTATTAATTAACCATTACTCTTAATAACTATCTAATGGAAAAATTTCTCACCTTAATAATTTTCATTAACCGTTGGAGGATGTTACTACATAACTTTTTTTTCAATATATGACTTATAAAAAATTTATGACATGATACCACTAGAAGTTTCTTATTGTACAATATCATCCTATTTCACCATAGACTGCTATTTTTGGCAAGTATATTAACTATAAATACGATTGTAAATGAAATCGTTAAGACGAATATTTTCCTTTGCTGAATTGTCCCTATTCTTTTTCGATAACACAATGAGCCTCTCTTAACGTAAATTGTGTTAATAATATTTTCAATTGGTCAAGCACAAATTTACATTGGTCTACGTTGACACACTTCAAACAAGAAGTTAACAGTATGATAAGCATAGAATTGGGAATAATAACACATTTGGGAATGCAAAACCATTAATAAAAAGTTAATTAAATGGCTGGCAGATTTCGCTCTCTTGATTCAAAAACAGCTAGTTATGGTACACAAGGAGATACTACTTAAAATTTCATCAGTAAATAATTTGAGGGTCTAACTGACTGACACTACACAAAAAAAAATAAATGTTCATAACACTACCCATTAGCTGACCCATTGTTTTGAACTGAACGCTTATATAAGAACATAAAAGAATTAATCCTATGGTCAAAACAACAGAAGAAATATTTCATTTCTTTTTACTTTAACTGATTAAATACAATTTTTTATTCTAAAAGGAAACAAAAATGTTCAACTTATTGATTATACTAGTGGCTCGTAATTTACACAGACTGTCTGTCAATAGGCTGTAACATTCCACTAATTGAACTAGCAAATATTATAAACAAAACCGCAAATAAATAATATCGTCTAAACAAAAACACAAGGTTAAAAATGTCACTGAAAAAGAGTAAAAGATTATTACATATCACTTGTACAACAATCTAGATGGTTAATTGAAAACAGGAGAATACAACTATATATTCAACGGGAAATGCTGTTTGGGATAATGTATCATATCGACAAAAAAACTACACTTGAATCTAGTATCTGATCCATAGTTGTGATATGTCTGCGTGTAGTAACTACTCAACAATCCTCTACACCATACCAATGATGGACTTAATTAGACCATAATACCATCAGTCATCGTTAGAGAGGCTTAACAGCAGACTGCCACTCGTTCTGAAATACATGTCTAAACTCTAATCATGCTCTAATACAAGGACGCATTTGCTTGCATCTCACTAGACGCAAAAAAGCCATAGATAAGAAGACTCATTAGAGTTAAACTCAGCGGTGAAAAAGCCGAAGGTAAATTCTAGGGACAAATGAAGTCACACGGGCCATTTTGAAAACGAGGTTGATCCGGATGTTGCTTGGAAAGATATACAAACAACCGTGGAAACAGCAGCGACACCTATTAGTGATTTGAACCAAGGGGTCACGAAAAACCAGTGGATTTCTGCTAAGTTTATTATACTGATAGATTCTCGAAAACTTAACCCATCAGGCTCTGAACACGATGAAGAGCGAAAACAAATCAGACCTAGGCTGACTAAACGACCGTGAGCAGTGGTAGGCAATGAAAGCAAAAGAGACGAAAAAGGAAGTGGCTGTTGGTAACACAAAACAGCTTTTCAGACTGATAAAAGAAACTGGAACTAAAAAGTCAAGTGTAAATGAAACTATATCGGAAGAAGGCGATATTATCTGCTCTCAACCCAAACGCTTAGAACGATGAAACACTTTAGAGAGCAGTTTAGCTGGCCTTCAGCTACCCACCATTCCCAAACAGCCTGAATAGGACGTTGAAGTAGGCCACCCGAACCTAACGGAAGTTCAAAAGGCTATAGTTAATCTGAAATGAGGAAGAGCAGCTGGTGCAGATGGATTGGCTCCAGAGGTCTCTAAGGATGAAGGTCCAATTTTAGCGATTAGGTTGACGAATATTTTAGCTAAAACCTGGGAGTTGGACGTAATCCCATCTGACTGGTCACAATCACTTATCGTCCAAATATATAAGAGAGGGTCAAAATCATCCTGTGACAACCATAGAGGTATTAGTTTGAATAACATAGCATCTAAAATGCTAACATCAATAATTATCAGACGCCTGACAAAGACTGAACTGCAAACACGAGAAAATCAGGCTGGCTTCAGACCTGGTCGTGGCTGCATTGACCATATATTCATCATTCGTCAGATTTCAGAACACAGGCATGCTTATCAACGTTCGACAATAATGGTCTTTCTTGACTTGAAAGCAGCATTCGACTCGGTAGACCGAGAGGCTCTGTGGCAGTGTCTATCGTTGAAAGGTGTACCTCAGAAGTACATAAACCTTGTGAGGGCTATTTGCTCGAACACAACCAGTCAAGTCAGAGCTTATGGTGAGCTGTCGTCTGATTTTGCAACCTCAAATGGTGTCTGTCAACGCTGTCCACTTTCTCCATTTTTGTTTAACTTCATCATAAACATACTGATAGAAATAACGCTCTCATTGACTGAATTCTCGGGTATTGATCTCCTACCAGGAGGTCCACTTATCGACCTAGAATAAGCAGATGACATAGATCTGCTTGATGAAGACGCTGATAAAATGCAGTCTTTTGGTAGCACTGAGCAACAATACCAGGATATTTGGGATGCGTTTCTTCTCTTCTAAATGCAAATTGTTGCTTCAGAACTGTCCTGAGCCAACACCTGAACTACGAATAGGGAGTGAACTGGTCGAACGCGTCGACAACTTCTCTTATATTGGAATTCTGATCAACCCTAATGAGTTGGTGTCTGACGAAATCTCTTCACGAATTCAGAAAGCTCGTCTGTCTTTTGTCAACTTACGTCACCTATGGAGAAGGCAAGATACTCGTTTATCAATAAAAGGACGAGTATACTGTATGGCAGTTCTTTCTGTTTTACTTTGTGGCTGCGGAACGCCGCCATTAAGAGCAGAAGATACTCGTAAGCTACTAGTATTTGACCACAGATGCCTTAGAAATATTGCTGGCATCACAGGGTAAGTAAAGTGAGGTTAGACGTAGGGTATTAGGGAATGATGGTAAATCATTTGATATGGTTGTGAATTTTCATAGACCATGCGTTATGTATGCCTGAATACCGATTACCACGACGCGTAATGCTGACTAATGTTGGAGATAGATGGTAGAAAATTAGGGGCACCAAACCAAAACAAGGTATCAGTCCCTGAAATCACTAACTTCTAGTCTTAGCCATGTTGGTAGATACAGACTACTCGGTTGGGGTTTGCGTGACTATTGTAACTGGCAGTTGGAAACTGATAAACTACTCAGAATCGATCACAATGGTGTAGGTGTATACACTTTTTGTCTTTGCTTGAACCACGAGATTAAAATTACCTTATGCCTTTCCCTCTACGAACTAATTGTTTCTCCATGTATCACATCTTTATATGCAATCTTGTTTTATACAGTACAATAATTGAAAAGACTGCTTCTATGAGTTTGGTGTTCATCTTGTTGGGCTAATGAGGTATGCAAACTTGGACTGATGCATATATGTGCCTGGTCCTAGGTTGTAAGTGACTGATTGATTCAACAATTGGTTACCGTTTACTTTCAAATCTCTTGATATATATTCAGGATTTCTTTTAAACTAAACTCTTGCTGTTCTTCCAACGTGAGTGGTACACGTATAAAAATAAATGCAACTGCATGTAACCATAAAATATCTTGTGTTTACATTAAACTCTCTGAATGGGCTGTTTATGTCATGCGAGATAATTGAATTGATGAAAAAGTTTCAGTGCAATGCCGAATCCTAATCAAAGACTATTCTGAGAACTAAGAATGAATATTTAACTAAAATTTTTGTTTATAGAGGTAGTGCATAGTTGTGAAATTCCATCTATTGACTTTACAGGGTAAACATTATCGGTTAAAGTTCTAATCCCTTTCTCATCAACGTCGGGTGGACTTTTTTCAGAAAGTGTCTACACGATAATACTTTCCTATGATAATACTATCAAGAATCATTTCACTAAGAGCTTTCATAATTACATAAATTTGCGTTGTCTTTCTAGATCATTTATAGACAACTCAGATGACGCAGCAACTGAATCACAGAAGATTCTGAAGAGGACCGAATTTACTCAAGGATGCTTGAAATTATTCTATCGCATCACGTTTGTAAACTTCTCTCATGAGGTACAATCGGGCACTCGCAAGCAAACACATGAGGTATTATCTAAATCGTCAATTTAAGAACCTGACAAAAAAGAATTTTTTAAAATGAACTTTAGAAAGTAAAAGATGGATTTTCCTGATATTCATTTGACCAAACTAGAATCATAATACTTATCTTTAGGTCTTAAATATCATATTCCACATAATAAATTAGGCTGAATCGACTACAGATTTCTCTCCTTGTCTTTCGATACATGCATTATGTAAAACATCTAGTTATGTAAATTTTCAAACACCTAGAATTGCATTGACACTTTTTCATCAATTTAACTGTCTCACATGACATAAACAGCCCATTCAGAGAGTTTAATGTAAACACAAGATATTTTATGGTTACATGCAGTTGCATTTATTTTTATACGTGTACCACTCACGTTGGAAAAACAGCAATAGTCTAGTTTTAAACAATTTCTGGATATATATCAAGAGAGTTGAAAGTAAGCGATAGCCAATTGCCGAGTAGTACTACATGCAGATACACCACGATTATGGATCACATAGTAGTTACAGATGCAACTCAGTGGGCACAAAATGTTCAGTTTTCACATCTCAGGCTCAACAATTAAACCTATACTGTCTTAACCTAAGAAAACTGATCGAATTATCAAAATTCATAAAACAGATGAATAAAAGCAGCAGATTTACATACTAGTGTTCGACGTGATGGTAAGATAGATTGCTTGTTATTTTCGTCAATCATCATCCTAGTAATAATTTGGATAAACTAAGGGTTAGTGCACGACAAGGATTATGGAAAAAAGAAGAAATAAACTGAGGAAACATTAAACTTGAATGACGAAGAGAATAGTACCTTTCCTTTATCATCAGTCAATTCAGAGATCTCCCTTCGAACATTGTACTGTTTCCCATCACTTTCTGTCAGTGTTTCAGTAATAACTGTCTTTGGAGCATCTGAGGAGGAAAAATATGGTAGTTGGATAAAAGCAAAAGTATTCAACTAGTAAGTAATATCCCTAAAGCTAAAGCAGACTTTTTAAACTTATTAAAACATAACTCAGTAAATTACATTGAATCAGTCATCGTTAATATAGAACCTGGGGAGAATCTGGTTCCAAACTTCATATCAACCCAGTAAGACAGAGAATTAACAAGGTGAAAATAAAGAAAGTGAGTTCAACTACTCTCTGTGACAAAATTTTACATGTTATTCACCGTTTTCTAAAAACGACTACAAGTATTGCGTGGCCCACAGCCAAGAAGTATACATCGAAATACATAACTTGAACTGTGAATCGATGACTTCATGGATTGACATGATATCTATTTATTATTTATTTATTTGAACACACATATTGGTACAAGGAGGCACCAAATACATATGCGCCACACAAATCTAATTTGATTTGTGTGAGGGCTGTGATACTGCCCGAGTGCCCAAACCGAAGCAGGTGGTTTTCTTAGGGGACCACACCCGGAGCTCTCGACCTGAAGATCTGATCCACAAGGCAGTGGAACATCGTAAGGAAATGCAGTCCCTTGGTAGCTGGTGACCAACGATTGGTTCGTACGCCATTTGTTCCCTCAGGATACTGGAGCCCATGTGCACCATTGGTTTGGAATCAGGGTTTTTCAACTTCCCTAGGTGGACTCTCCCTGTCCACCAACCCGGTTAAAGCGCCGGACATTCGCGTTTCGTCCTCTCGATTTCGTAAACAACAACCCTGCCACGAGAAGGCAGTGAGGACTTCCGTGGCAGAGGCTATATACGCGTGGTCATGTGAGAGCATTTCGGGAGGGTGGGCGGACTCTCTCCACCCTCTGCCGTACCAGGGCATTTGGTGGCCATAATATCTTGATTTACCGACCCTTGTCTCTCATCTTACCTTCTCATATACCAACTTGAAATTTACATCCGAGTAGGCATTGGTTGTACACAAGTAAGATGCATTTTAACCCCCCTCAGTCGATGAGGGTTTACATCTTAATTAAAAACCTTTCTCTTTTCTTGTGGTACTATAGGCTTAATCGTACTATTTTTCGCTTGATGGTTCCGCTACATGTAACCGATACTACGAAAATACCTGTGGTAAAACATTTGCAGACAACACATAAACTCATCGAATAAGCAAGCAATAAGTTTTAATTCAGCATGACAAGTAACATAACAGTTCCTGCTTATTAGAAATAATGGAAACTCTGAGGCCGTTTAAATGTCAATACTTAGAGTTGAGCAAACGGATTCACTAGCTTTTTGACAAAGTCTTTGACTGTAGCCTCGCAGAATCTGAGTGTTCATTAGTGATGAAGAATCTTTTCCTTTTATGATAACGATATTTGCTTGATGAATGTCGGAAGAAGCAAAACTCCACTAGAGGGTTTATGTTGAAATGAAAAAAATTCAGAGAAAATACTTACCATTATTTAAAGCAAACGTGTTACGTATTGGTTGTTTAACGTCCTCCCCCAATGATTCTTTTGGACGAAAAACATTCTCTAAGTAACGACCTAGTACATTTCCTGGAGGACGATAGTGAGCTACAACGACACATTTTCCAGGACCACAGGCCTTACCGAAGCCAACTTCACGAGTTGAACTCCATACTAGTTGTGTAAAATTACCTATAATGTAGGAAATACTTGGCTTTTTATGTAAGAGAAGAAAAGTATGACGTGAAGATTTTGGGAATAAGACTAAGCTCAAAGTTAGCTTAAGTATTCACAAAAATTACGGTAAGTGACTAACCTGCAGGTCCTTTACCGTTTTCATAATTGTAATTTTCGGCATCTGAATGCCACGTATTTACGACTTCATGACCTAGACAGTATATAGTTCAAACATAAATGATAACCTTGCATATCCACATGAGTTCCTGTGCTTGTGCGTACACTGATACTTTCACCAACTTCACCTCGACTAGAAAGTGGACTATTTTTTATCCCATCTTCCGACAATAGTGCTTCGGCCCAATCCTGGGCCGTTTTATCTAGGGCAAGACTATGTCGTAAAGCACATACACCATGAAGAAGTCTTTTTTCATTGTGTGCTCTGAAACAATCTTCTCTGAAGTCATCTAGACGACTCATCTACAGAAAAACATCAAGATAAATTCACATCTATAGAGAGCGTATGGAAGATTACCCACATTACATAGCTGAACTACTATCTTTCGTTTACTTATATTACTAAGACAGTTTGGAATAACAGTAATGTCTTGGCAACAAAAATTACGACAGTGCAATGCTTCATCAAGCCTAATGACCATAAATTATAAATGGCTAGGCTACAAGATCATGTCAATGTTCAGTGAGAAAATTATTACTAGTGACCAACGCTACCAAAGCGATTAGATCATGAAACTAGCTCATCATGATGAAAATATCGTGGGAAATGGAGTGGAACACTTATTACTTGCTATCCTATTTCAGTTGGGTCAGTTTGGAGCCCCCAAATGCCCTGGTACGGCAGAGGGTGGAGAGAGTCCGCCCACCCTCTCGAAATGCTCTCACATGACCACGCGTATATAGCCTCTGCCACGGAAGTCCTCACTGCCTTCTCGTGGCAGGGTTGTTGTTTACGAAATCGAGAGGACGAAACGCGAATGTCCGGCGCTTTAACCGGGTTGGTGGACAGGGAGAGTCCACCTAGGGAAGTTGAAAAACCCTGATTCCAAACCAATGGTGCACATGGGCTCCAGTATCCTGAGGGAACAAATGGCGTACGAACCAATCGTTGGTCACCAGCTACCAAGGGACTGCATTTCCTTACGATGTTCCACTGCCTTGTGGATCAGATCTTCAGGTCGAGAGCTCCGGGTGTGGTCCCCTAAGAAAACCACCTGCTTCGGTTTGGGCACTCGGGCAGTATCACAGCCCTCACACAAATCAAATTAGATTTGTGTGGCGCATATGTATTTGGTGCCTCCTTGTACCAATATGTGTGTTCAAATAAATAAATAAAGGGTCAGTTTTGGGAGTACTGATGGAATGCAGTGAATTCCAAGTCTACGGTTTCGCTGCCAATCGTACTAGATTTTGAAAAATCAGGTGTTTTTCACCAATAAACAGCACCATCGGTAATGCCATTTTCCGGATGTTGTGAAACATACTTCATTTACAACTACCCAACTATGCCTATTGCGAGATTTCTCATGGTAACCCAAAAAAACAAAGTTCATATGTGTGGACTCAATATATAAAAAGACCGTGACGGGTGAGACTTGAAAAGTTGTTTAACAGGCTTTGCAAAAATGAATACAAGTCTATAAAACAAAAAAATACCGACCCAACTACATGTTTAACTTCTACAAGTAAAAAACTATTTATCGCCTGGTGAGTCACCAGGAATAAATAATACATACCTTCGATCATTTTGAATGCTAGTCGTAGCTTCAAACGTAGTTTAGTCTAGTTTCTGTTTTTGTTACTAGCCTTACTCATTAGCTTCATCTTCGTATGTACAACCAATGTTTACAACTGGAGCTTATGGGCTGTTATTCTCAGCCCCATAAAAACGTGCTTTTGGTGTCTGAGCATTATGTTAAGCGAGTTCAGTTTTCAAAACCTACAGACTTAAAACCGCTTATGTGTCTCCAAAAACGGTATGGAGTAAGTACATATGGTTAGTCAATCAACATCTAACCAAAGAGGAACGCTAGAAAAATTTATAAACTCTACAAAAGCTTCTCATGCAGATATACATAAAGCAATAAGAGCAACTTTCAACTGGATTTCAGCCGAAAAAACGTGTTCTGTGCATTAAGAATGGTATAGAAAAATTTAAGAGGTGATGATATGCACTACTGGTTAGAGTTGTAACTAAAACAAACAATACACCAGATGAGCAGATTATATCACCTCAAATTATCGATACGATAAGCGACACATACTCTGGCCCTCCAAGAGAGAATATATAATCTTCAGTCACCATTTTGCTTGTGATTAACTTCGTGCACATGTAGACCACAACAAAAACAAAATACAGTATAAGTACTACTCAGTAAATCCAGTACAGATAGTTCGGACAACACTTCATGGACGAATTAGAAAACACTTCACAATAAAAATGCAACATAAAACCGGAAACTTAGTTAGTTGTACGCAGTAGATCTTGAACTGACTATCAGCTATCAAATAACTAATCTTCGTTACCATTAATATAGTACTCACAACGAAAACATTAAAACGAGAAATATAATTCGTCGTTGCTAAGCAAGTAACGATACACATCTTGATGACACAAGTGCTAAACTAATTTCTCTAAAAAAGCCCATATTTTAAAAATGTTTCTCACGAGAAAGCTATAACCTTGGTTTAACAATGTAGTTTGCTGGTTTTTCCCATGTCCGCTGGTTTGATGAGTTTTCAATGTAATTCTATACATTAAAATTCTTTAAAACGAAAATTTTTAGTTAAACGGTCATTCCAAGAGATTTTATGAGTAAAAATAACAAAAGGCCAAAACACAATACCCGGAAACTGAAGATGTTTATAAATCACTTATACAGATGACCTTTAGATTTAACGCATTGAAAGTACTAACAATCGAAAAACATTCAAGACATCAATATAGTAATATCTGATCACTTCATAGTTTCATGTTAAAAGCTCAGTCTGTATATATTGCGTTCCTTTTGGATTATCAAACAACTCATTGACTTTCAAGCTATGTACCAATTGTTTACTTGTAATAGACCCACGAGAAAGCCGATCAGTGTTATGTCGACGGAAATGTATCAAATAAAATATTGAAGTCTACCGTAACCTTGAGTCTTTAGTTGATGAGTCTCGTCGTGACGAATCGAAATCCTGAGGATATGCAAATTTTTCATCAACACCTTTTCCCCAGTCCCTATGGACTGATAGATCAGATAATCGTTATTCACATTCGGGTACAGAATTTTCCGTCTGTCTGGAACCTAATCCTTGATAATAGAGATGATTCATTCGAATTAACTTTCAGTCATAGAGAAAAATGACTACCTGTTACAATAATCGTGTTTAGCGATTTTCTGTTTTATTATTTGAACGCAGGTTCGCCTTGTAACGATAAATTACTCCTTCAAAATAAATAGTTCTATATATCCTCGACATTGTCTCCAGCCTTATTGCTTTCACTTGATACATCTAAATGAATGCGCTCGGTTGTGGATCCTCATAAGTTCACGAGTGAGGTGGTCAGCATCCAATGTCTAAAACTTACACAGCTATTGATTTTGGGGATATATTTACCGCTACAAACGTATTTTCTTTTGTGTTTTCTATAGAGAACCAGACAGTCTATTCTGTAGCCTCAGTTGGAAAGGATTAGAAGCTCTTAAAAGTCGTGACTTTATAGTCAGTATCAAGGTGTAGAACTCAATCAACATTTGACATGGAGAGAATGGTTCAAATGGTTCAAATGCTTGCGGACGGAATAGAAGAAGCTTTCGCTTAACAGGCTTCCGTGTCTAGTTGCAGGGAATCACCAATACCTACAGGCAAGAACCTAGGTATATTAACGATAAAAGAGAAAGAAAATGAATTGGTAAATCATAGTAGGATACTATCCTTAGTCCTTAAGAATAGATCAAGTCGCCTCTTAAAGGACTCCTGGGAAGTTGCTTGGACTAGCTCAGCTGGCAGCGAATTCCAGCATTTGACAACTCTTAAGGAGTAGAAATTGTGTCTGCAGTCCGTTCTACTATGTTGTATCTCCAGTTTCTGGGTGGTACCTTTTAGGTTAGTGTTGGGACTAAGCTTAAGTAGGTGTTTAAGAGGGTGTTCAGGTGTGTTAAGGATACTGTAAGCCATTAGAATGTCACCACTAAGACGCCTATACTCTAATGGGTAAAGGTCGAGTGATTGGAGGCGCTCATCGTAAGGTTTAAATTTGAGTCCCCGAACTGATTTCGTGGCTCGCCGTTGGATACGCTCCAGAGTGTCCTTATCCTTTTGAAGTGTAGGAGGGAATACTATGTTCCCGTACTCTAAATGGGGACGAATGAAACTATTGAAGATTATGTGGAAAGTTCTCCCGTCAAACTGACCAAAAATGCGCTTCAATGTTACCAGTGCAAGGTTTGCTCTAAAGGCATTTTTGTCACAGTTGGCGTAAGACTTTGAGTCGTAGGGCACCAGAACTCCTAAATCTATTTCGACTCGGGATACTACTAGAGAGGAGTTTCCTAAGTTGTAACTGTAATCTGCAACGTGTCGCAGATGGACTACTTTACACTTTGAAGTGTTAAAGGTAAGTCCGTTATCATCTGCCCAACTTTGAAGTCGAGTCAGATCCTCCTGAAGTGCCTGTATGTCCCCTTGGTTGCGTATCTCTCTCCAAAGTTTCACGTCATCGGCAAAGAGCAGTATGTCTGACGTTACCTTTTGAGGAAGATCATTTATATAAATCAGGAGGAGGAGAGGTCCTAGTACTGAGCCCTGGGGGACCCCACTAGAACATTCCATAGCGCGTGAGAAATTGAAGTTTACCCTGACCTTAAAATGTCGATTTGTGAGATATGAACTGAGCCAGTCAATTAAAGGTGGTTTGATTCCCAATTGTTTGAGCTTGTTAATAAGACATGTGTGGTTAACCCTATCAAAAGCTTTAGAGAAATCAAGGTAAATAATGTCTACCTTCCCCTTGCGATCAACGATGCTTGTCCATCTGTCCACCGCGGTCAGCAGGTTCGTCATACAGGAATAACCCTGCCTGAAACCATGCTGTTGGGGTGAGAAGAAATTTAAGGACAGCAGATAGTCATGTATATCATCGTATACCAGGGACTCCATGATCTTTGAAGGTATAGAGAGAAGGGCCACCGGTCGGTAACTTGAAGGTTCACTGCGTCGACCTCCTTTGAAGATTGGTGTGATATGAGCCAGCTTCCAAATATCCGGTAGTTTGCCCCGACTTAGCGAGTGTGAGAACATCACGCTAAGCGGTGTTGCCAGGATTGAAGCTGCTTCCCTCAGTATAGCAGAGTGGACCATATCTGGACCAGGAGAAGTGTCTGTTCTTAGGTGTTGTAATTTACGGAACACCAAGTCAGCGCTCAGTTTCACTACGGAAAGTCCTGTGCAGTTGCAGACAGAGCCGACATCAGTATAGTTGATGTGGGTCGGCTGAAATGTCCGGGAGTATTGCTCAGCCAGAAGTTTAGCGGCGTCACCGTCATTATCTGTCGGGCCGTTATGTTACGTCCAAGTTTTTGCTCCTTCCCGTTATTGAAGTACGGTATGTCGATCTATTTGTAATTTACGAACCCAAACTAACAACAGATCCAAAAACCAAATCAGGTACCAAGTTTATTCGCAATTCACAAATAGTCGACCAAATATCGTTCTAACAACAACAATAATTATAATAATTACAAAACAAACCTTCAATTTTATAGGTTCCCGGAGCAAAAAACTTCCAATTACCAAGCCAAAGACAAACAGAAACCAAAAAATGTCCGAAATAATGATATAAACAAACAAGTTCAGAAGTTAAGTAAAACAAATACATCCAAAAACCAGTGAAATTAATGATATTTAATATAAAGTTTTTAATCAGCCAAATGTCTTCAGTTCTCCCGTAACACCGTTAGGACCTAGCAGTTGAGAAACTCCAGTTTTGGCTTGACGAAGAGAGGCTGCGTAACGGAATAAGCTTTTCGGATTGGAAATAAATTTATCCATAAGCTTTAACTGGTACTGAAGCCTGTCTTCTCTTATAGCCTTCGTACATATGTTCCTTATATGTTTGTATTGCCTGTACTCGCCGTTGTTGTTGGTTCGTTTGTATTCTGCCCAACAGTGCCTTTTACGGCTTAGCAAACGAAGAGTGCGTTTTTTGATGATTGTAGGTTGCTTGTGCCTTTTGCGGACCGTTTGAGGAACTGACTGCTTAGTAGCACATGAGAGCGTGTGCAGTAAGGAGTCCCAATGAGCATCCACATCAAGTTGAGAGTGAACATCCCAATCCACCTGTTGTAGATAGTCCTGTAGAGCTGACGCATTCAACCGTTTGAAGTTCCAGCGCCTGTTGTTGTCGGGATATCTTAGCTCTGTTTTGCTGACGAAACTGAAGGCTATAACTGCGTGATCGTTTTTCTCCAGGGGAGCCAGAATTGAGAGGTTGTCGACTAGAAATTCTTCATTTGTAAAAACACAGTCTAAGCGCGACGGTGTCTGACCGTTCCTCCAACGAGTGTACGACTTCATATTTTCGTGTAGTCCCAAGTCCTCAATGAGGTTGAAGAACCGAGCTTCGATTGAATTTTCACCTCCAGTATACGTATGTTCCGCGAAGTTGACTCTAGGGAGATTGAAGTCCCCTAGGATCAGGATATGAGTGAAGCCGAGACGCGTAGAGCGGGATAGTCCTTCCAGATTGCGACTGTCATACTCGATGTCGGCAGTGGGCTTCCTATATATGACTCCGACTAGGCACCTCGAAGTAGTGGACAATCTCATAGAGCACCATATGGATTCCTCAAGATTGTCAAACTCGTGGTTGTGGATTTGGTGTACCACCAGGCCAGATCTTATGCATAGGGCTACTCCACCCCCAATTCCTGTTTTTCTGTCATTGCGAAACAGAGACATCACAGGTATTGCTAGCTCCTGGTCCGAATACTGAGGAGATATCCAAGTTTCAGATATTACTATCAGATGAACTTTATTAGCGTTGCTGAGTTCACTTAGTTCATCCATTTTATTTGGTAGACTCGCGGCGTTCATGTATAAGCAGTTAATGCTTTCAATTTGAAACGCGTGAGCTTCTTCCTGTTTATCTGTGAGAGCCTTGCGTGAGTGGACAGGTAACCCACCTATATAAGTTTTGTCAAATTGGTAGGCCCTGTCCTTTACACGTTTTTTTTGTCTTGAAGACAGTCCACAAGTGGAATGATCAGTTCCAGCTTGCCTTTGTGCTTGATCCTGGCGTCGTATGGCCTATCCGGGTGCATATGGATCCCAGTTGGCAACCGACGTCTGTTGACACGAAATGCTTCCAGAGTTGCAGCCGCCATACGGGAGGATGGAAAAGTTATTCTCATTAGTCGGGGTCTAGGATCCCCGTCCTTCTTGGCTAGTCTCATCACATGCTGAGACAGTATGTTTTTAAGCCTCAAGGACTGTTTGATGAATTTCCATTCCCGAATGTCAGGGTTTGCTTGAGTAGGGTTCATGTTTTCCGGTACACCTTGCACGATGATATTTCTTACGCGGAAAAACTTCTCTCGAGAATCTTTAGGGACGTTTCGGATGAGATTGCGCTCAGAATATGGTATGTCAGGCAGTATTCTGACGTTCCCATCGGATTTCAGTAGATGACTGGCTAGCAGGACATCCTCTACTTCGGTAGCATTCTTGAGTGTTACACGGAGTAGTCTCGGGTGATTTTGATGTTTAGAATCCTTTCCCCGAGTGAGCCGTGTGACCGTCAAAGGCTCTATTCTAGGGAGTTCGAGCTTTTTGTTCAGTTCACCCCAAAGCATCCTGTCATTTTTGTCCTGCAAACTGAGAGGAAGGTCAGGATTGTCTATGACGTTCATGATTATGAGAGAGTCGTCACGGACCGTTGTTGTTTTCCCAGCTCTTCCAGTGCGTTCAGGTTCAGTACGTTGTTGTTTGGAGGTCGAAGCAGGTTTTTGAATCGTAGGCTTTTTAATAACCGGGCGGACATTTTTGGGGGTAGACTGAGCGATCAAAGCACCAGTTGATGTCCGTACAACACTTGGGATGTCAACCTTGGACGGTGACACATGGTCCTTATTAGCTCTGTTGGCGTGGGTACAGTCACCTGCAGAGTTTTTAGGAACCACTGTTGCGTTTAAGGACCCTGAACTGGGAGATCCAATTTTAGTGAGGGAATCAATTATTGTCGACGTAATGATGGTGCTGAGTTTCAACATGTCATCATTAGTGCTAATGCGCGTTCCATCGATGGTTGACTTGTCAACATCCCTGTTCTTATTTTCGTTACGCGCCCTCGTTTGCCTACCTATTTTATGGCTATCTGTTTCCAAGTTTACTGACAATTTATTCCGCAGACCTGTCAGTAGAACAATGATATTGCTCAGCAGCACTACAGCGTCCGTGTTGCACGTAACGCACACCCACTTACGGTCCGATTTGCTGAGTCTCTTGTAAGCCGTTGCCGTAAGATCTGTGCACGTTTCGTGAAACCAACCTTTGCAGTTGTCACACTGCATGCCAGATGTAACAGCGAAACGGCATCCAGGTCTTTTACATGAATTTTTCATGGCTGTATTGACGTAAACTGTGCTAGAGATAGTATCACAGCTTAAGACCGTTAAAAATACACTAAAAGCCACACTAAAACGGGAAAAATGTATAAAAACGGATGAGATAAAATGAAATAGCCTTTACGTGAAAAAGTGAAAATAAACCGAATAGTAAGCTGAGGCAAAACCGCAGTTAACTATTAAATTGGGTGAAACTCATAAAAAAGTAATCTATCGAACTTATAGCTCAGAGTAGATTGTTTAGATCAGAAATGGTACTTTTGTTGTGTAAGAACACAGCAAAAGTTTCAGAAATGCAAACCACGTTAGGACTAAACTTCCCGTTCGAAAAGCGCGGTCACTTCAGTTTCAGAAAGCCAACAATGGTGGACACGTGAATATTGATTGGATGGAATGGTTCAGCCTCGCAGATGTGGTAATCCTGCATAATGTATTTTCACTCACATTAAATATATTATTCTATCTTTAGCCCAAATATGTTCTTCAGAAGCACTGGACGTTATATGGCTGACTTTTATGGTAGGATGCGTCAGAACAGACAATCACGCGACTTCCACGTAAGAGCTTATGAATTAGGCAGTCACACCAGAACAAATCCACAATTTAAGATCAGGTTTGCTATTGTAATAGTACTAATAACGAAGTACAATATAATTCTACAGGTGCACCTTACTTTCTTTACTCTTATTAAGTTTTATAGATCAAAACAGTTTAATGTAGTCCATGTGACCTTTCACAGATCATTTGTTCAACAGTGTTGTGTGTTCACAGAACTTAGGGTATTATTTAATCATAATATACTTATGGTTCTCAGTCTCTTGCTAAGCGTGCATAGGTTTAAAAGATGTCACGGCTATTCAGTGTGTGACAGCGCTATTGTCTATAACACTTTCTAGTCGGATATCTCAAAACTAGTCAGGAAGGAAAGAAGTTAGAGATTACATTTGGAGGTTTGTGGTCCTTTGAGTGACGCGTGATCTAAGTTAGGTGGTCATGAGTTCAATGGAACTACTGAAGTCAGCGTCAGTGTTGAATATCCATAAAACTTCATTAGCATTTTATTTACTGTTACAGCTAATTCTCTCCTAATGGGGCAGTTGTAACTTCAAGACACGACCAACAAAAAGTTTAAACCAAACGAGCTCACTTTTTCGCGAATTCCGTTTTGATAGCTTACTACATACACTAGCGTCTTACCACTTTTTCATGCTCTAGGGAGTAATAGGACGTATAATAGTGAAATGCACAATGTTAAGTTCGATTCACCACATTCCGCCTAAGTTTTATACTTTTTCAGTAGTTCTGAAAGAGAAAGATATGGAAATGTAAGTGCAAGTCAAAACAAACCTATATTTGCTTAAGTAAGCAAACTGTAGGAAAAAGTCGTTACATACGTATATATACCAAAGCGCACAGTTTTTGATATTTTTGCAAGAGAATACACATGCACAAGCGTTTAAAAAATACTTTGGTTTTTGTGCGAGATATGGTCTAGTTGTCACGAGCCAAGGTGAAGAGTAAGAGTTTAACAGTTGGTGAATAGAGTGAATGATTAGCTCTCTATATTGTTGGAAGTGCCTTAATGCCCGGTTCACAGCTGAAAGTTCCTCGCCATCAGTACTATGTCTCGATTCAGTGCCCCAAGAATGTCTGAAGTAAGATTTCAAGGGTCAACAAGTATTATTTGCCCATTGCTGTCAGACTCCTGCGATCAAAGTCATATGCGTCCACTTCGACACTAATGGGTGATTTGGATGTGTTGATGTGTGAGCATAGTTGCTTTTGCCAAAATTTCCTTAACTATGGAAAATGCTTTTCTCACATTTTCGTCCAAATTGATGAGTTTTGTGTTTTCTTGAAGTTGGTTAGTTAAAGATTTCATGAGAAACGAGCAAGTCAGTATGAACTGTCGATAAAAATTTTCCAAATCGTAAGCGTACGTAAGTGCTTGTCTGTGGTCGTTTCTGGGTAATGTGGAATGGCCCTCACTTTGTTCTTCAGTGTGTGGATGCCTTATGCATCAATTGTGTGTCCAAGAAAATTGAAGGAATTGGTTTCAATTTTGCATTTCCGACAGTGTTTCTCTGTTTTTGAAGTCATTGGAAGACAAGGTCAGATGTTGGATGTGTTGTTCTCTGTTCGGATATGAGATTAAGCAGTTATCATATTCATTCTCAAAATTGAAACATGCAAAATCATCGTTAGTGTTTCTCTGAAAGTTTATTTAGCTTTCATTAAACCGAAAGGCACTTGTGAAATGTCTTTGAGTCTAAAGAGTATAACAATACCCGTCTTAGGAATATCATTCCCATGTATTCGGACGTTTCTTATAAGTTTTAGTCAAGCCAATTTAAAAAAAACTGACATACCTTCTTAGTTGACAGTCAGATAGTGGATGAAAACCACATACTACTACTGGGGTAACTTAGATAAGAATAATTACGTAAAATAGCACTCATCCTCGACTAGTGACCTTCTGTACACGTAGTAACATTTCTGTTGTTCAATTGTGCTGTAATTCAATATTGTCGAGTTGTTGGTCAAATATTTTTCTGTAGGTTAGGTCTCCGAGTTTAGGAATAACCTTTTTAAAAGTGTCGTAAGGTTTCAGAGACTTCACTGACAAACATAACAGGTGTAGCCTGCCTGATGAATTCATAAGTTAGTTCCTCTAGTTCAGCGAGGAATCGCACACACAGGTCTGTCAGAGCGTGCTCATGGAAGTCAGCTTCTGTATATCTGAATCAGGCTACTGTATTAACAGGCCACAGCGAGATGACTTGCATGGTGAGAGGCGCAGAAATGTTAACCTTGAATAGTTTATGCATATCCTGACGTAGTAAAAATGAAAATTATAAATATACGAAAAAACTAAAGAGCACATAAAGAACATCGGATCATGTAAAACGTATATTTTGTGTTACAACCGGGAGCAGCCTCACAGCTTATAAATCCGTTTACTGGATCTTAACGAGGATCACCATTGACATCACGAATATTCAGTGCTTGATAGCACCATTGTAGGCAAAACTTTTTATTTGAAGATGAAACTGGTCAAAACGAAAATTATCAGTGAAGGAGTTTAAAGAGTTATTTTGGAAACAGTCGATGAGTCGTGGTTTATATTATTTCGTCTGACTGGCTGTTGTGAGGGATGCATAGGATGTTGTACTTAGTGATATACTTTTGTGGATGCTTGACTTAAAACATTCAGCTAGGGTGCTTCCAGTAAAACTGGAAGAATCAGCGTCAATATAGAGGTCCCTGAGAACTATTTGTTTTGGGGATTTATCTGCCGCTACGGCCCTTACGTGGAGTCACCAGTGAGCCACTACCACTAGACACAGTAAGGAGTAAAACAAGCTTTCGCCTTCCTTTTTACAGCCATTGGAACGACTTTCGCTCCCAATAAAAATGTTAGAACTTACTATTCAATTCGTCTTCTACATCACACAAAATTTAAATATGATTTCCACTGAGAAGACCAAAAGCGGAAATTCTGATACTCAGATTTCTGTATTTCAGTTAATTTTAGTCGAATGAAGAAACACTATTAGGAAGCGATTGTTATTAACCGATCTCTGTTTTAACTTGCCAGTCAAGTACAATAGTTTCTCCCGCATTATGTAAACGTCTGCAGTTTTTGATTATGGGCGCACAACATACTAAGGAGCGTCCGCGTCGCACATATCACCCGAAAGTTGATCATGAATTGCAAATAAACACATGTACGTTATTTGGCTTCTTAAAAATGTACCTATCGAATTTTTTTCTATTCAATACATGCAAACTCAAGTTTAAGAAGTGATTCTTATTGATGCATTATAGTTAACATGATTATTTAATTCGTCGTTTTACGATGATAAACTTCCTCACGTTCGTATTAGTGAAATTTTCTTTTATAGTCAAGGGATGGGATACTGTTTCAGTAATCTTCCGCATCCACAAAGCATTAAAGCACTTGTGTGAGGGGAACAAACTTAGCTTTAACCGACAGTGTAGGATTGTACAATGCGATTGAAGCTACCAAGTTCAGAGATCCAGTGACTGGACTCTAGCTTTAAATGACTGACTTATAAAGCCTAGTAAGTTAGTACCTCTAGTTATCAATGAGCTTGATGCCCGAATGACTTGTCTCTAAGCTCATCACATGACGTTATTGCCTTTTTATTTCGTCCTGCGAATATAACGTGAGTAGAAGTTTGCGCAAAAGGGACACTACGAAACCCTCGCTAGTTGTACAAACTATGTTACGTCTAAACGACTAGAGATTCGCTATTAAACTAATAATTCAGAACTCGAAATCTGTAAAAAATGGCATGACATCCTTAAATGTGGTTGATTTTATGCAACTGCTTTGCAACAGCTCATCTGTTAATCTTAGACGCCTTTGTATTTCATTCTTCCAAAGTGTATCAGTTTGCATTTTTAATTGGTTTCCTAGGTCGGTAGAGTTTATTTATTCATATATATTTGAATACAAATATTGGTACAAAAGGGGCACCGAATGTATATGCTCCTTTTGTTCTTTCAGGATACTGAAGACAATGTGCACTATTGGTTTGGATCAATGTTTTCCAACTCCCCTCGGTGGATCCTCTGTATCCACCAACCTGGTTAAAGCACCGGACATTCGCTTCTCGTCCTCTCGATTTAGTAAATAACACCCCTGCCTCAAGAAGGCAGTATGACTTCTTTGTCAGTGGATGTATACGCGTGGTTATGTCAGAGAATTTTGTGAGCGAGAGCGAACTCTCCACTCTCGGCCTTACCAGGGTCGACTGTATAGTGAGATTTTGGTCAGCAGAGGCTATTTTTCAGTCATAAGTTTTAAAATTTAAAAATTCTTAAAACATTTTCGAGTGGTTCAAGAGAACAAACAGCACGATCTCAAATTGTCATTGGTTGCATAAGTGGAGTAGGCTAAAAGTAGTATTATACGATCGGTAGCACTCAAGTTACCAAGTACGTTTTATGTGACTGGAGCGGTTCAAGTTTTGTCGCAAGTGCGTGTGACTGCACCCTGTGCTAGTTGCTTTGCAATTTTAAAAACCACATCCATTAGTTAGATACTTTGGGTAACGTAGTTTAGAATCGGTTACAGCGGCACAAATACCTTTATATCTTACTCTAGATTTCGAGTTCCAGATTTCCTTCGTGCATACCTTTTCTTCCTGTCTTTTTGAACTTTATTCTCATTGTTTATTCCTATTATTCTTGTGAAATTATTTCAGTTGCTTCTCTATTCATTATGTCGATTTCGTCTCATCTTGCTAATGTATCAGTGAATATTTGTTCCAGGCTCTACGTTGACGACAACTAACTGATAGTTTCGTCCGCACTTCTTAAACTGTAACTGTTTCTAAGGCTAATGTAATATTTGTTCTATTCATGAATAACATTTGCTTCTTCCTTGCCACGAGGTATGAGATAAGTGCCACACGTCTGTCACAATTAGAAGTGACTCAATTATGGGTCGAAAATAACCGCAGTTTATTGCACTGATCCATATGGGGTAATACAACCCTTTGTTGAAAGTTTTTCTGGCTTTAGCTGTAATATCTAGTTATGACTAAGACTTAACCATTTTCAGGATAGTAATTAGTTGTTCATAATCCGTTTCTTAATTCACTATCTTAAAAATGAAGGATATGTTGAACTGTGCTAGCTCTTGACTAGTTAAATTTTTATATTAGATCTAAAGTTTTCTATGTATTTGTATGGTTTTTCTAGCTACATCTTGGATTCAAAATCACAACCCTTCAACGAACTTCAAAAGTTCTGTAACGCACACATCCCAGATAAATCAACCCAGCGATCAACCACTAATAGCTTTGTTTGATTTCATTCCACCAAATACACCAGAAAATCAGTCACAAATTAGAGTAGAGAAAGGTAAAGTTTGTCTTGATTTTATGTGTCCACGTTGCTTAACATAATTAAGCCTGGTAGAAATTTGATTGTTTTTCTAGTACCGAGTAATCACTATTAATATTCCACCGTCAGAAAACCTTGACAAGTAGGATACCATTAATTGTATTGCACAAGGTGAAGCAGTAGGTTTGCGAACAAATGACAGCTTATATAAATGATGTTGGTTTCAATGGTAAGTCTTACTGTTTATGTAGGCCTTAGCAGAAAATCGAGTCAAGATCACTACTGAGATGTGCGATGTTTGAAGTTTAAAGACAATGGAGTGGACGTTTTGGGATGATAATAAACCATCACCATACTCAAAAGTGCATTATACATGACTTGGCGTTTTAACTAAATGTGAGTAGTCCTTCGGAGACAGTTATTAAATACAATGGTTCCCCTAATATCCTTAACATAGAGATTAGTTTATTCAAGTCTAAAACAATGGCTCACACCGATGGGCTGTATATTCCCTCTATAATGGCTGTGCTTACGACGTAACATCACCGAGTCTAACCCAAAGTATCGTACACCGTTCGCACCATACGAAAGTTTATATTGTCTACCGCACCACCACCACCACCAGCACTCTCGGTTATTCATATACATGGACTCGACTGTTTCTTACGACTAATAATCAAGGATGAGTGTAGAAAGTTCCTTCCAGTTTTGTTGAAATACTAAACACTTCGGTGCTGCACGTGCATACCATACTTAAGGGTTTTAATCGACAACGTATTCAAGATGATTGTGTTAACTTGTATGTCATCGCATAGTAAAGCGACATCCTTGAGGTGCTCAAAGGTGTAAAATCTGAATAATAAATCCACAACATCTAGAACTTATTACAACTGTTACTAAATTGTAGTCAAGCTATGGGTGAGACCGCGGATTAGCGACACCAGCATTAAGATTTACATCAGTACGCCTTGGGTTCGGATCTCTCTTCATCTACTTCGATAGAGTCGCTTGATTACATAATGTCTTATTCAGGTGATTACACGAACTTGCACTTGACTTTAACTCATCTACCAAGTACTTATTTGTTTACTCGGTTTGTAGCCATACCTTTACAAGGGCTTGACTTACTACTTTATTGCCCGAATAGAAGTATGTGGAAATGGATTCAAACCAGTGACTTGCACTTAGTACGTGAGTAACATTGAGTCCCAAGAAGTATGATAGGGTTGTGCTTTTCTTCCTTACTCCACTTTTAGCGTAAACTAGTAAAAGAAAGGGTATATTCCCTGTCTATTTGATGTGTTTTCGAGTTTCCCCTGTGATACTGTTCTCACTGTAAATGCCAGATTTCACTCCTACCCGACGTATTAATGACTGGTTTAATGTCAAGCAAGTACTACTGTTGACCCACAGTTCGTGTGACAGTGTGCAAATATGTACGTTTTCAATGGATTTACGATTTAAATAAAACTTGGCAATGTGATGTCAGTATTTTAAAATAAACTGACAACAGAATATTGCCCTACTTTACCATTATGTTGCTCTTTAGGAGTCCGAGATCTGATTCCATTTAGATCGTATGAATACTTGTTGAAATATACATGTTTCCAATCCTCATATACAATCATTGACCTAAATGGTGTTGATGGATAACGGAATTAAATAAGTCAAATACGAGAATGGATTTGGAAGACGTATATTTCATACAATCGTTAATCCAGACAAACGATCGAAAGAACGAAGCGAAATGACGTCCAGTGGAGAAGTCATGTCAGCCTACTCGATTTAATCAAGCGTTAATCGCTATTTATAGTCAGGCATGTGATGAGTAAGATAGAAAATACACATGCATGCACTTACGTAAGGACAATCAAGGCTGATAAGCGAAAATTAACAAGATCAAAATGTGACTGAAGAATAATGAATAAATTGGCTTGTCCGGAAGCTAGAATAAGCTATATGGGCTCAATATAGCAACCGACACTACAACCCCTTTTTAATGGATACCAACATAAGCTGTTTCTTGTATCTATCTCTTAACGTTTTTGTTGAATATTGTCTTTAAGTGTTTCAGTACTAACCAAACATGAAACAGAAAAATTCGGTCAACGTTTTTAAGGCATTGGGATAACCAAACCTTTTTAAGACTCCCAACCAGGTTTCCAGGTGCTATTGACGATTGTTTAAAGGTCCCCCATAATTTGTCCAAATGATCTCATAAGTATAAGTCCTGTTACTACTGATGGCTTAGATAAGTTTCTAGTGCTTGTTAAGTCCAACTATTAGGATAGAGCGTTTCACATTAAGAAATCATTTCTAGAAGCTTCCTGAAATCAGACACATGTCAACAAATTATATTATAACGTATTTCGTTGTCTCAGTTGCTCGATGAACCTCATTCGACTCAAAATATGTGATCGGGTGCTTATGAGCAGTTTGTGGCTATGATAAGTCCAAAATAATTCACTTTACTCCATTAACCAGGATTAGTTTCACATTTTAATTGCAGCTGATAATAAAACTCATCTGCAAGCCTGTGTCAGTTTAGTTGATTCCTGATGCTTGGGAATTCTAACATTGTCGTTTTAGTCCCTGAGATACTATAATATTTAAACATAATTTAGGCTTCACTTACCGTTTAAATGTTTTGGTACCTCCCATTCCTTCATATTTACTATCTACTTTGTTTGCGCTATGGTTTAATTTAGGCGATCGTCTACAGCTGTTTGGTTACAGTGCAGATGGTGATTGGTCAGACGTTGAGTGTATACGAACTAATGAACGTGGATGGATACCAACAAACTATACAGGTCGCATTCCTGCTCTTCCTAATGATCACAGTACAGCTTTGAATACTGGGTCAGCTTCCGGCAGTTCACTTACTTTCCAACATACTAGCAGTCACGATGTTAGTTGTAGTGGTAGTCAAGGTAGTTTGGCTGGAGTAGGACTGGAGTCAGAAAAGTGGTATCATGGTGCTATTCAGCGGAGTTATGCAGAATATTTACTCAATAGTGGAATCACAGGAAGTTTTCTCATCAGGGAATCAGAAAGTCATCCTGGTCAGCTCACAATAAGTCTTCGTTATGAAGGACAGATATGGCATTATCGTATCCATCGTGATGATTCTAACATGGTAAGCTTGTTACATACATACATATATCTTTGAAACGTAGATACTGATGAAAAGAGAAAAAATAGTCATTATAAGTAAAAAAAGGCTTATCGCTTGAAATTCCCGGATGTTTGAAGTGAAGAATCACCCAAATGCCCTGGTATGGCCGAGAGTGGGGAGAGTCCGCCACGCGTATACAGCCCCTGCCAGGGAAGTCCTACTCACTGCCTTCTCGTGGCGGGGGTGTTGTTAACGAAAATGAGAGGACGAAAAGCGAATGTCCGGCGCTATAACCGGATCCCAAACCAATGGTGCACATGGGCTCCAGTATCCTGAGGGAACAAATGGCGTATGAACCAATTGTTGGTGACCGGCTACCATGGGACTGCATCTCCTCACGATGCTCCACTGCCTTGTGGATCAGATCTTCAGGTCGAAGGCTCGGGGTGTGGTCCTCTAAGAAAACCACCTGCTTCGGTTTGGGCAGTCGGGCAGTATCACAGCCCTCACACATATCGAATGAGATTTGTGTGGCGCATATGTATTTGGTGCCTTCTTGTACCGATATCTATGTGTTAAAATAAATAAATACATCATTTACGATGTCATCAAAACTGTGATACAAGAATATCCAATTGACATTTCTCAAACAGAACTAAATACTTGTTTAGTATTTTACTGTTAGCTCCCACCATATTCTGATCCCTAGAAGTACCATAGTACTCCAGTTAGTGTGGCGACCTGAATTAACGTTCTCGTCCAATGTTCGGAATCTTTCTTTTTTTATGCAAATAAAGTTAAAGCATTTTTGTCGATGCTTTTCTTACACAGATGAACCACGCTTGTTAGTCATATAGGCCTCTGTTCTAGTAATTTCATGGATAATATGGTAAACCAACAATCAAAGCCGATTATCAACAGATTTTCAGTACTTCCCTTGTTACTCTTCTAGAACTAAATTACTGTGATTTTCTAGTATCGCACTCAAAGTAAAGTGTGCTCTTTTTTAAGCCACATGATATGAGGGGTAGTAATTGTACTGGTCTGCTTAAACCTAAGTAAATAGAGCGGGCTTCGAAATCGTAACTTAATAATTGAAAGCTGAATAGCTTGAATACCAAGCTCTACTGTGTATATATTACACCATGTGAACTAATTTGCCACTTTGCAAACTTCTGATTGATTTTCAGCTCATGTAGGAGCCTGTGAATTAGTCATTTCAAATAAACTTTTTAGATAAGTACCGTTTCCGGTTTTTTATATCGTTCCTTCATTTTTTCACTTAGTATTACGTTATTGAATCCAACAAGTTTACATCAGTCTCTGACCTTGTACACCATCATGAGAAGCATTCAGATGGTCTGGCTTGTACATTATTATACCCAGCACCCAAACGAGACAGAACAAGTTCAGAGCTACGCATGGATCCCAGTTTCGATATACGTGAGATAGATCGAACCGAAATAGTTATGAAACATAAATTAGGTAAGTCCGTGTTTCGTCATAAATAATCTTTGATAGTTCATCATGAAACAGGATGATCATTAACCTATGTTTATTTACTTATTTCCTGATACATTAACGTTTCTTCTTATCTTTCATGCAGTTTTATGAAGTGAAAATGTCTTCATCGTTAGTGTATAACAGATTTAAACTTATGTTTGATATCTAATCTCTGAGTGTATAATCACTCTCAGCTATTTTCCTTTTGTACATCCCCATTGATAATGAGTTTATTCCTACAAATACTGGATTACTGGGTGTGGCCCCCTAAGAAAACCACCTGCTTCAGTTTGGGCACCCGGGCAGTATCACAGCTCGCACACATATCAAGTGAGATTTGTGTGGCGCATATGTATTTGGTGCCTCCTTGTACCAATATCTATATGTTAAAATAAGTAAAAAAACTCTTGTTCATCGTATTTCTGTACCACACGATTATTCTTTCCTTATTTGAAATAGGAAACTCTTAGTGTATCTGGAAAGTAATCCATTGATGTTGATGTAAGGCACATAACAATGAAAAAAGCCAATATTTTAGTAGTATACAGACTAAAAACTTGTGTTTAAAGCATCTTATGCGGTATAGAGCACAATAAATTCATCGTATTCCGTAACAATTTTCGTTTTTGCTTTGTTCAGTGTTAAATATTGAATATAAAATACAGCACATTAGTTTGTTGCGTGACATGATACGATACTCAAAGCTTAGGCCTAACAGTCACTTCTTAATTGATTGAAGAATGAGTGATCTACAAGCTAACTTCTTCAATCGCTTATGATATTTTATATTTATTTTGCGTTCGTTTTCTGTATACAAGAATCTTAATACATGAAAAACTATTCATCTGGCTAGTGGTCTTGTCTTTGTTTTCTAATCATTCAGAGGCTCAAGTCAATTATACGGTTTCGTGAATAGTCATCACTCAGTCACATTATATCGTTGTGCTCACCCATCGATTAGCATTCTATTCATTGATTTTAACTGTCGAGATTTCTTAACAAATTCACAGAACATCTCCTTTATACCATCACATTACCCATAAATTAATTAGAAAAAAGATTCTGGTCAGGCATTTTTTTACTCTATAGAAATCTGTTCCACTGTATAATTTTAATATCACTACACTCCTACCATTATTATTCGCACTTTTGAACTAAATTAAAAGTGTTTGCTCTAAAATTTAATGTAGATTTTGATGAATGACCACTTATCTAGTGAATTGTGAATCGTCCTTTATTTGATCATTGAAGTTTGATCTTTATCAATACTATGTGTTCGACAAAAGTTAAGGTTATTCACTCACTCACTACTGTAGAGTTCTGAAGCGAATTTAACTAAACTTTCTATTTTGAACATATTAAATGGTAACCTAAAAGTGATTGTATTGGTTAAGGTGCATCTATTTATTGTTTTTTTCATACACCTTTTCATTCCTTATCATAGTTCTACACTATCCTTCACCTACATACCAATAAAACTCTTTTTTTTTCTTCGTGTAAGTTAACAAGAGAAAGTTGTTTCATGTTCCTGAAATAAATCTGAAAATACATCAATCAGTGTTAACTAATAATGTCATTAATAATTAATTTAATAGTTGGTTGTTTTGCAACTATAAGCATGGTCCAGTTAATGTTCATTTCTAATTAATGACAAAGGTATTTCTAATCGAAATAATTTACACGATTTTAGCCACTTCGACTTTACTGATAATCTTTGATTCATATTATATGCTGTTCATATAGATTCTATACTTCTGTCAAACCTAAAAATCTTATCCTGTAGTGTTGTGTTAAGTGTTATTGCTTCGTGACTGATGAATTTCTACCATTTGTTCGCAAAACCTTAATATGGATTGGCGTATAATCGGGGACTATTAAGAATATTCAAAATAATCAACTTTTATTTGAACTGTATTCAGAAACATGAACTTATTCAGTATGTGCACTTAAAAAGTTTATTTTAATATTGAGATTAAAATACAAATATAAATGCTAACCTTTTGTTGCAATTGACGGATAGCAACATTATATTTAAAGTGTGCAATTTCTGTAGGACTAGCATTTGACATTCGTGCTTAATTACTCTATATGGCTAGTAATTTTATTAATTCATTTCTATTTGTTTTTCTGATTTACTGATTACAGGTGGTTCTCTTCAAATTATATCATTTCGATAGTTTAGCTATTAAATAGAGTAGTTTGTAAGAAAGTTTGGTTATTGAGTCACTACTCACATACTAAAATAATGCATAAATATCTGTGTGAAAAATGAGCACTAAGACAGTTGTAGTCTGAACTTGAAACGAAACAATATGGTTAAGCTTTTCTAAATGTTTTCGTTTAGTCAGTGTGCATCTTTTCCTATTTATCAAATCATCTAACCTTAACTATATCTATATTCATGTATCCTAAGGATTTCTCAATGTATATTTACATTCTATCATCTTTAGGTTAGTGAACTTTATTAATTTGCCCGTATTATTGGTAAATGTACCAGAGTATTTTTCACTGAGATATGATTTTTCCAGCACTTAGATGTTTTTATGAGAAATCAAGAGTAACTCATATTATTGGATTTTAAACTATTCATAATCTTACTAACAACACCATCAATCCATCGAAATTGATCAAACTTCAGAGTTGCTATTATTCAACAGAATAACTAATCAATAGTCGAGGCATCTTGTGTATTTATTAAAGTAATTACACATTTTATTAGATAAGTATTTTACGATTCCCTTTCTTAACATTGACCTTTTCTGTTTGTTTGTTTTTCTCGGTAGATTTTCTTATTAATTAATTAATTCGATTCATGCGTTTTATGGCAGCTTCCGCCATTGATTTTTTAAGGTCATTCCATTTTTATTACTATAGGGTCCTGTTTCTGATCTTTCATCTGCAATAATCATTTTATCACTGAGTCACTGTGTACGTGTGTGATTTGGTTATGTTGATGTATAATTTCTTGTAAAATGTAATAATCATAATAAAAGTGATCCTATATAGAGTGTTGGTCATATGTTAGTGGTACTATGTTGTAAAATTTCAACGTTAATTATTCTGTTGTCACCTATGCTTAATCGGCTTCAGTTTATGTATACTAATAGTGTTATTTCATTTAGTCATCTGAGTGTTCGACACTTCACGCCTGTCTATTCCATTTATTTTAATGCATGTTGATTTATAGTATCACTAGTGTCCGCATAATTGAATACATAAATCTATGTCCTATCGCACATTATTAATTACAAATTTAAGGCATCTACTTTCGTTAATACATTTAAAATCTTTGTTACTATAAAGCTATGTGCAGATCATTAAGTTGTAGGCCTCACATCACAGACTGACTTTAGTTAGTTATTATTTATTTATTTATTTGAACACATAAATATTGGTACAGGGGGGCACCAAATATATATGCGCCACACGACTTTAGTTAGACAACCAGTGGAAATCAGACAGCATTGGACAGTTATTTTCCCCGAGTACGAACTTTAGCATCAACGACTCTATTAAATATCGAAATATATTGTTAAGTCGTAATCTTTGTCGGATTGTGTTCTACTTAATTTTTTGTAGTGTTTCATTTCATTCATATATTCTGTTGAATTGTTAAATAAATCTTCAGAGAATAATGGAGACGTATTCATGTATGTCGATTTCTCTGTTTGACAGTCCAACCAGTTCCTCGACTGATTTAACCGAAGTTCCAAACGACACGTTATAAAATATGTAATCAAAAATAAAGTAAATATATGAAATAAAAGAAATTAACTTGATAGAAGATATTAAATTACCTAAATTTTCATCCGAGAACAGAAATAAATACATTAAGTTGTAGTAATGACATGACATTATACAGTTTTTTTCTGAGTGCTATTGTGGCATATGCTAATTTCGTTGACAGATAAGTAGTATTTAGCAGAAATCGGAAGTGAAATGCTTGCCAGCAGAAGATTGAGGTGATTGAATTGAAGAGAACAGGGACAAAAACAGAAAACAATTGTAATAACAACAGAATTGAGAGAATCATGACGCATTTAAAAAACAACTGAAGGAAGATGTGCAAATAATGTATTTAATGTATGGTTTTCAGATTTCAGGAAAGCACTTGGTAATTTTGCATTGATCAATAAATTGGTTTTCCACACCTTAGTCTCATTCACTGCACTATACTCATAACGAGGATTGTGGTCCAAATCAACAGTGTTCTTAGGTGTTAGTTACTCTAACTAAGGGTTTTTTCCTAATAACCATGATAAACATCACTTTAATTGTGAGCGAATTTTAGCCGTGCTATTTGTAAGCCAGATCAGTTAATAGTTATGTGACTCAATAATCACTTACTGGTTTATGTATTTGTCTGTTAATTATACTTGTGTGATGGTTGTTAACGATTTCACTCAGCTACCAGAATTTGAGCTGGTGGAATTTTGTACATCCAAGCCAGTAAGTCGCAACTTTTTACTGAACTTCGGTAATATTTGAATGGTTTACTTGTTGATCTTAATTGGTTTTATATAAGTTTAAAATTGTTGATTTCAGAAGTTATCTTTCTTTAGGGATCTAGTTTCCTTTACGATAACATCATATAAGTGAAATAGTGTATTCTCTAAATGCCATGTACCAGTGTAAACCCGATTCCTAGTTTCCCAATGATTTTAATTTGTTTACACTTGTCATCTCTACCCGCCTTTTATGACAAAAGCTTAAAACCAACCTATCAAGAATATACTGCTTAATTAGAATTCTTTATGATGTTGTAAACATATAATGTTTTCATTTTAGGTTATTTATCTTTATTATTTTACGAACTTTTTAATTTCAGGATCAGGACAGTATGGCGTAGTATATGAAGCTATATGGAAACCTTATAATGTATTAGTTGCTGTAAAAACACTCAAGGTACGAGTTTACCCATTGCAATAACATTTTAACTTAATGTTCTCTAATTTAATTTTCATTTTGATAGTCCTTTAACTTTTACATATTCTACTCGACAAGTTGAGTGAATAATGTCGTTTAGATATGAGTTTATCTGTATTAAATTTTCTAATAGTGTTTTCAACTAATTCATAGCATTAGGTTTATAGAAGCCGGTGAATATTTTAAGAATTCTGCTCTGAGCTACTGGTTGGTTGGGACTTGAGTATAATCTAGTACGTTGTCATTATGGTAAATCCAGACAGTCAATAAAGCGAAATGATTGTGCATAGTTATTTATATCTTTCATTCGCTCCTGAGGTCAACCTGACTGATCCACTTGAAATGGTATATACAAAAAATAATTATGATTCGTGATAATTTATGTTACTGTTCATGGGATCGAAGTACAAAGACATGGTTGTCTGTTGTTCTTATAAAACAACTACGCTGATTTCTTATTAATGTTTTACTGAGTTACTAATGATCCATTCTATTGATGCTTATAAGTGAAATCCTCAATAACCCTCTGCGTGCGTAAAATCAGTAAACACATGTTACACACAACTACATATTTTAGACTTGCCTTCTGTGACCGACTGTTCTATATAAATAACCTAATATCACAAGCTGTGGAGTTAGTGTATTGGTTTATAAATATATCCTACCCATTTCAGTCGATGAAACCATTAATAAGCATTTCGACATTTCTTTTACCCTGTAGTTAGTTGGTGGTGCTTAAGAAAAGTTCAAATAATCTTTTGTATTCCAGAGATTTCACTAATCACAGCCTCACTATGATAGATAGGATCGCATATCCAAGTGTTGTAGCTTGATAGCCCCCAAATGCCCTGGTACGGCCGAGAGTGGGGAAAGTCCGCTCTCCCTCTCGAAATGCTCTCACATGGCCACGCGTATACAGTCTCTGCCAGGGAAGTCCTACTCACTGCCTTCTCGTGGCGGGGGTGTTGTTAACGAAAATGAGAGGACGAAAAGCGAATGTCCGGCGCTTTAACCGGATCCCAAACCAATGGTGCACATGGGCTCCAGTATCCTGAGGGAACAAATGGCGTATGAACCAATTGTTGGTGACCGGCTACCATGGGACTGCATCTCCTCACGATGCTCCACTGCCTTGTGGATCAGATCTTCAGGTCGAAGGCTCGGGGTGTGGTTCTCTAAGAAAACCACCTGCTTCGGTTTGGGCACCCGGACAGTATCACAGCCCTCACACAAATTAAATGAGATTTGTGTGGCGCATATGTATTCGGTGCCTCCTTGTACCGATATCTATGTGTTAAAATAAATAATAATAAATAAATAGTTGTAGTTCGATACACACAAGTACTTATTGTCCCATTATCTTATTGTTCTTTTACTAAGGATACTTAAGTAATTCTGCTCTTAACTTTACTGTTTGAGATTTTACTTTTGTTGTCCAAAATCCTTTAAGTATCCATTAGTTTCCTTATCTTTTAATATGTTGTCCTCTTTCAATCATATTTACAAAATATATTACTCACAAGTAGTTGTACAGAAAGATTTTCTTTTGGGAAGACAATAAAAGCTCTTTTGCAAAAATACCACAATACCTCTTATTTTAAGCATGCGTCAAGAATGGTTGAAATGTTATTGCAAAATGATGGAGATATTGTAGTATATTATTAGTTTGGACTTAATTGTCTAAAATAAGAATTATTCCAGTTTTTTAGGTAATTGTTTTAGATAATATGACGAATATATTTTGTGTGCTAATAGTTTTTTATTTAGTCCATTTTATTTATGAGTTGACGGTTGTTGAAATGTACTGTTACAATTATTTTGTTCTGATAATTTGATTCTGGATAAATATATGATACGTTTCTTAAAAATTACTTTTTCCAGGAAAATGTCACAGTTCGTGATGAATTTTTAGAAGAGGCTCGTTTGATGAAAAGTTTAAGACATCCAAATCTTGTGACTTTGTTAGGTAAGTACGCAGAATTTTTTGTGAGTTTCACTAACACATTTTTCCTCAATTCATTCCAAATAATTGAAAACATATAACTTGAACTTCATAGTTGACATCACAGACTGACTTTAGTTAGTGGCAGACATTGAAAACTAGAAAGGGATGTTTCACTATCAAAACTTTTGGTGTAGATGAAGTCATTTTTAACATTTTTTTTCAAATATATACTGCTAGCTTCAAGTATGTTTCATTTATTATTATTTATTTAAACACATAAACATTGGTACAAGGAGGCACCAGATATATATGAACCATATAAATCGAATGATTTGGATTTGTGTGAGGCCTGGGTACTGCCCGGGTGCCCAAACTCAGTTTATGTTGACTTGGCACCATTTGTAAGTTGTTTTTGCAGTAAATGTAAGCTTAGCACATTCTCCATGAATGTGTTGTCATTAATTACTGTCAGATGATACATCATTTATTAGATGCTCATAGTTCATTCTTTTCATTTATCATAACAGCTACAAGCTACTTGCAAATTTTCTTTTAAATTTTTTCTCTAAAGGTGCATGTACTCGGGAACCACCTTATTATATTGTCACAGAATTCATGTGTAATGGGAACTTGTTGGATTATTTACGTACACATCCTAGAACAGAATTAACACCTTCAGTCTTATTGCATATGGCAACTCAAGTTGCTAGAGGTATGGCTTATTTGGAACAACACAATTTTATACATCGGTGAGTTCTTTTTGTTGTTTATGTTCAATTCATGATTTTTCATGCTGTTTTTTTAAAATTTCTGACTTAAAACTGATTTTACTCACTTTCATGTAGATATTATCTTGTATAAAATTAAATAAAAGTGAACTAATTTATTATTAAATAATAACTATCACTCATAATCGTGGTTTAGTTTTCTGTTCATTCATCTGTGTTAACTTTTATGATTATTAAATTTTAAATGTTGTATTCACGAATCGATCTAATCTAGACCATCATTGAAAACCTGGAAGTACTGGACTGTTTAAAATACTACAATCTCTACAGATCCCCATACTGATGATAATGTACTCACTAGTAACTAGCTTCAACATGGATTTCCTGGAGTTTTAGTGAGAAACTGTGACCAGTGAAGTCCGATCCGTTTCGGGTGTGAGATAGCTATCCACCCCAGGCAATGGATGAAGGGTTTGACAAGATCATGAATCGATCAAAGTTAGACATAAGACTGTTGGATGCTGACTCAGTGCTCTAGAGGTTAAGCGTTCACGCGCTAGACGGAAGGTCCTGGGTTGGAGTCCCGAGTGCGGGATCGTGGGTGCTCACTTCTGAGGAGTCCCACACTGGGATGAGACAACCGTCCATTGCTTCCAGGTTTTTAATGGCGGTCTGTCTGAGATCGATTCGTAAATTCAACTGTTAAAATACTACAATCTCCACAAATCCCCACACTGATAAAATTTTTTTAGTGATTTGCATACACTTTAATTTGATTCCTTATCAAATAAATTATACGACTTCTATATAGATCTGAAATTTTTTTGTGGAGACTAACAATGAAACTGACAACAGACAATAGTAATTACTATTGCTTATCGCTTATTGGATTCATGCAATAATTTCGATTCAGTAACAGCTATTCACTTATTGTGTTCATATTCATTAATAACCGTATAGTTTATGGTTTTCATGGCTGAACTTTTCATATTTGATCTATACTAACTGGTATTTTTAAAGTACACTTAGTTTATATTTATTTATTCGATTTATCATTTGACTACATTCACTGACTTTCAAAATAGTTATAAGTTACCGAGATAAATTATTACTTTGGGTGTATAATATAATTTATGGTTATTAGTACAAACATGTTACAAATTTATATTATAACTTTGTTACTGAAGCTTTACAGGAAGCACATTCTACATCTGTATATATTTGACGTAACATTGTACGTTCTCCAAGGGTTTATCACGTATAACTTTCTCGTAAGAAATTATAAGTTTCATATTCCATACGTGACTTAAGCACTTTTTTTTAGCTTGAATATATCATAATCATACTATGAAAGTGAGTATTTTTTCTTAACTTTGATTTTTTCCCATTCATCTAAATCGTAGAGTCTAGTTAACATGTTTTAATTATTCTAGTAAATGAAATTTCCTATTTTGTCGCTTGAGCCTAGTTATTATAGATTCATTATTTAGCGGTGGATAATAGCAAATGAAACAATAATACCCCATACACATTGTCGAAATACCATCAATTAAATGATACAGTAGTTAATTTTCCTTTCTGATCGGTTTAAAATTAATTATGATACAAGTATTAATCAAATGTTATCCTGCACATCATAATGATACAATAAAAACTGTAATTGAATGGAAGAAGTAATCGGTAGGATTATAACATTAGCTCAATGAAGTTGGGAAACCCTGATTCCAAATCAATGGTGCACATCGGCTCCAGGATCCTGAGGGAACAAATGGCGTATGAACCAATTATTGGTCATCGGCTACCATGAGAGTGCATTTCCTGATATTGCTCCACTGCCTTATGGATCAGACCTTTAGGTCGAAGGCTCCGGGTGTGGTTTTCTAAGAAAATCACCTACTTCGGTCTGAGCACCTGGGCAGTATCACAGCCCTGAAAAATTGAATTGGTTGTGTGGTTTCCCATCGTACCAATGTCTGTGTTTGAATAAGTGCAATGAATGTATATAAATAAGACTAATGAATGTCTCTGACTGAAATCGATCAGTAATCACATCACTTTAAATTTATGATGAACTACCTAAAAAAATATTTTTCCCGTTCGCATTTTATAATTACAACTTTTTTACTCCTATTATTACGATAATGTTGAGGTTTATAAATACACGTTGATTAGATTTAGGATGGAAACACAAAAACTACTGTCAATACTAACAGCGTAACATTTCAATTTAGAGAGAAATTGAAGAAGAGTCTTTGGATGAACGTTTGTACAATCCCACGAAAACGTTGTTATGAAACAACTCGCGAAGAATTGTCTAAAACCGTAGATTTATAATATGAATATTAAAGCAGTTGAAAATCAAATCAGAAATTATTTTATATTTATTATTTAAACACATAAATATTAGTACAAGGAGGCACCAAATATATATGTGCCACACTTCATTCGGTTTGTGTGAGGACTGGGATGATGCTCAGGTGTCCAAACCGATGCAGGTGGTTTACTTAGGGGGCCACTCCCCGAACCTTTGACCTAGAGATCTACTCCACAAGGCAGTAGAGCAGTGTCAGGAGATGCAGTCGCATCGTAACCAGTGACCAACAATATGTTCATTCGTCATTTGTTCCCTCTGGATCCTGTAGCCCATATTCACAATTTGTTTGGAACCAGGGTTTTCTAACTTCCCTGGATGGATCCTCTGTATCCACCAACCCGTTTAAAGCTCTGGACATTCGATTTTCGTCCTCTCACTTTTGTAGAACCAACGCTGGCGCCACGAGATGTCAGTGAGTATGACTTCCCTGGTAGTGGCTGTATATGTGTGACCATGTGAGAGTATTTTGAGGAGAACCGACTCTCCTCACTCTGTCGTACCATTTGGGGGCTTAGAAATTCGTGATCTTTATACATTATTAGTACATAGTGCGACGAGGCACTGTTAAAGGAAGAATCAATGTTTTATAAACAAAAAACAATTATCATTTAATAACTTTTGGAAATGTTCGCAAAAGATTTATAATTAGCGTCCAGTGATTAATCTTTCAATTCACGTATAGTCAATATGATAAATTGTTTGTTTCAATGCAAACAATCCTTCGTGTTGAGAAACATTACTGTTCGTCATATAAACAGTTTATCATGACTCGAATTAATAATGTTATGTAGAATGAATTTAACTGTTAGATAAATAAATTTAAGATCAAATTTTTATTATTGATTATTCTCTGTTTATGTCTTTTCCTGAAAGCTTGTTATTTTAAACACGCTTGACAAACGTGTAGTTGAACTTAAATCTAATTCAATGATGACATGATTATCTAGTTTAATTTTTGTTGAATACATGAATTCGTTCTTCTGAATGTTATCTGTTGTACCCTAACAAATCGTTTTCTTTTTATTACAATGTTTCTCTTCACTGTATAGTGATTTAGCAGCCCGCAATTGTCTAGTTGGCACACAACATACTATTAAAGTTGCAGATTTTGGTTTAGCTCGTTGTATAGAACGTGATCTTACTTATCGAGCTCATGAAGGCGCTAAATTTCCTATAAAATGGACAGCACCAGAAGGTTTAGTCTATAATTTATTTTCAACTAAATCAGATGTATGGGCATTTGGTATATTATTATGGGAAATTGCCACCTATGGGAAAACACCATATCCAGGTGTTGAATTACAAGATGTTTATGTTTTATTAGAAAGAGGTACACGAATGCTTTGTCCTGAAGGTTGCCCTGAACCAGTTTATGAACTTATGTTACAATGTACGTTTTATTGATTGTTCCACCAATTAATTAAGTTATTTTTGATTATGTAACTTGAATAATTATGTTTTCTTCTCTTGAATTATTTATCTTTTGATGTAGGGTACACACAAAGCTTTTTATTCGTTTCTATCTCATTAACATTGTTATGTGATTTTAATAGTGTAGAGTAGTATTCCAGTTCTCACACAAATCGAATGATTTGTGTGGCGCGTATGTATTTGATGCCTCCTTGTACCAATGTTTATGTGTTTTGACAAATAAATAGTGTAGACTATTTTCAGTCTGCTAGATTAACGATATTTCTTGCTTTGATTATTTCCTAATTATACGGTCCTAAGTTATTTTCATGTAACTGTGTGTTCCATATCGAGATCACTTTTAGCAGATATTTTTCGAGCTTAGTGGAACAATAGACGTTAGTGAATAGGTATGACAGATCTAATGCCATCATGAATTTATTTTCGACTTCCATCTTTCTTATAAACAAACCCTAAAAGTAATCTTTTAGATTATGCTTAATGATTTGTTTTGTCAAATGCGTGTGGAATTTATGCTAGCTGCTTCTTTATTGCATGATACAAAAAATTGATTTTGTCTTGGTCAGGTTAGTAAGGCAAGTCATGTCTGCATAGTTTCGACAAACGTTTTGTTCAATCTACTGGTCTTAACATTGAAAAACAAAGACAGACCTCTTCTATATGTATTTAAGTGTTTATTTTCAGTTGTACAATTAATCGATTTCGTCTTTGAATTTCTGAACATGATCCTTCATTGTTTAGAAAACGGCAACTAAAGACGGCTAACAGATCTATATTAACATATCTAAAAAACATAGGGCATCAAGTTGACTTGAATGAAGTCTTTTTGAGCATTTTTGTCATAGTACATTTCTACTAGCTATTTTTTGTGTTTAATGGTTAATAAGTTAATGCGGGAATCGTATTTGGTTGGGAATAATTTGTCAACTTATTAAAGGTACAACAAATCTAGTTTTCATCCTACCTGCTGTTTGCGCAAAACTATAAGTTGTAGTAACTAACTACTTAGTGTTTATTTTTTCTACACCATCCACTGTTGATTAGCAACTAATACATACAGATTTGTTCTGTCTTATGAAGCAAAACTTTCTCTTCATACAACAAGTGAAGTCTGTGTTCGAACCCACCTTAAACAGACTGATTTTACCACTAGCCATCACACAAAATGCACCATTCAAAACCAAATACATACGCCTGTTCCTGGAGAATTATTATTATTATTTATCTATATATGTCTAATAACCAATGACTATCTTCAGCAGTAGGTAGATTTCGGCTTCTATGAATAAAATGAATTATTTCCAAGTTAAATAGGTTCATGTATATTTACTAGAACAATACTAATAGGTTAATTCTGACGATAAATAAGTGTTTGCTACTTATTGTCGGCTGAAAATAACCATTCATTGATCACTAAGCTGGTTATAATTTCTCTGTTTTACTGAATGATTCATATGTCTGAGGAATTTCACATTTGCCTTATTATTACCATTATCATTATTATTAGACACATTTATTCAACTATTAGCCTTGTTTTAGGTACACATTTTTATTCGCTGTCATTTTGCTTTTCAACAAATACTTTCATCCTTATTTCCCCGTTTTTATGTTTTTTCTGTCCAAGTGGAGATAAGGAGAAATATTGTATCTTCTAACCGTTACTACTAGTATCATTTCTTTATTTTCAGGGATAACAAACAAACAAATGTCATATGTAGTAGTAGTTCTCTTTGTATATTCACCCTTCTACTAATTAATTAGCTTTTCTAATATTTTTCATTATCTCTCTCTCCCTTTAAATGTATTTTGTTCAGTTTTCATAGTTTATTATTAATGCTTTGATGGAATCACTGAATTGCCTACGTTTTATTCTTAGCTGCACTCGATCAATTCTCTTTGATAAGAATTAGGTTACTTGGGTAACGCATGTACATCAAACACTTACTATTATTTTCTTTTCGCTAATTATTAGTTTCTTGGCTTCTTACCCTCGAGACGTAGATATTATTGACTTGTAATAATTTGACTATTACCACTTGAGGGTAATTATGGAAATAAATTAGTATATATAGTGCTGATAACTCATTGGTTAATACTTTCAACCTCAGTAAGTTACAATCTTAAACCTACTTTATTTACTTCGGTCCAAATACCCTTAGTATGTTGTCGTTGAATTTCACATAAGCGAATTGTCATTGTACATAAACTTAAGAATCACACCACTTAATAATAAAATATGATAGTTTTAAAGAGTGATTGTATAAATTTCTTTCTTTTTTCTTATTGTATTCATTTTGTTTTAAAAATATTTTGTTTGTTTTGAGAATTAACAGTAAATGAATTTAGAATAAAAATATAAATCTGCAAATCATCATAAGGGTATTGATATAGTTAGTTGATACGTTTAATAGGAGATAATTTAGTGGTTTTTACAGGATTTATCAACTTTTAAACTCCTTGTAATACATACTTTCACATAATTTGTGTTTAATGAACAGACAAATGAGTTTAACTATCTGATAGATCATAAAATAACTTATGAGGAATCCTGCTGTTCGCTTATCGATCCATTCAATTATCACTACTTGATATTTTGAAGAAGGTATTACAGTGAAATACCTGTTATTGTACTATACGTAATTTAGTAATTATTCATAACCTTCCTAATAAGAAATCATGAAGGGTTTACATTAGAATCGATCGATCACTGAGTAGTGATTAATGTCATTTTTGTTTTGCCTAAATAACTTAGTGTTAACGTCTCAGACTGAAACTCGGCAATATGTGTTCAAATCCCACAAGTAGCAAGATTATAAATACCATCCAGTACGAAACACAATTCCAGGGCTTCTCTCTAACTACCTCGAACCATTTAACATCATTTCAGTCTGGTTTCACAATCACCACAGGTTTTAATCCTAAGATGATTTAGATAATCAAAATGGTCGTTTATTCAGTTTGATTTGCTACAAATGTATCTTTCTTGAAATTTCTAAATAAGTATTAATTTACACTTTTCACTCTCGAATTTTACTCATCCTTTCTTCGATTTATATTTCTTTTATCCTCTTTTGTACTAAAGTTTGATTTTATTATCATTATTTCAACTTCTATGTATTTTCACCACCGTTTATCATGATGATAATTATGATATCACATGTCCCAAGTTAGCTCGATACTCATTTCGTTTTGACTGACTGATATTGAATAATGTATCAGATAGTTCATTGTTTATCGACATTATAGTTTATTCGCACATAAAATATTATGAGAATTAGTTTCATCATGATGAAATAACAGATTTCACAAGATTTAATAATTGTACCTTTTTGCACAACAATCTAAGTTTATGTTGTATAATAGTTTTTTTCGTTTACTCTTTACGTTTCTGTTAAAACTCTTTTTTTTGCCAAACTAATGAATCACTTAATTTTTATTCTCTGAAATAAGTTTATTTTAGGATATAAACATTTCACATTATCTGACATTCCCATTGATGTTTGGTACTGTAACAGATCAGTCTCTCTTTTTGACATATGTACATCCTGTGCAGATAGTCTCGATGTATTGTTTTCTTCTTACTAATATTTACCTCTTTTTTTCAGGTTGGCAATGGCTTCCAGAACAACGCCCACCATTTTCTGATATATTAAATCAATTGGAATCTATGCCAACCAATTCTACAATGGAAGAAGAAGAAGAACAAATCGATTTTGATATAACTTCTACTACATCTTCATCATCGTTATTATTAAATAACAATGAAATAAAGGTGGTTAACTCTAGTGAGTCGAATAGATCCATTAAACATCCACCTAATATTGCGTATCCCCGACCACCACTGCCTCCTAGACCACCCCCACCAAGAAGAAGTACCAGTTGCGATTATTTGATTGATGAGAATGATGATAATCAATTTGATATGATTAAAGGTTAGTTCAAGTTTTGTTATTGTTTGAATGTTACATGCATTTTGAAACGGTTCCTTAATTTGATTTTGTTTAAAGTATTCTGGTTTCAGTCTTTTTGTCACACGTTCCAAGTCCTACTCCTCTTACTTCACTTTTGTCAGTTGGATAATGTCATTAACCCTCACGTCTAATGATTGACCGAAACTTAATTACAGAATTCCGTGTTGTTGGGCAAATAGGTTACTTCTCCTGCCTGCATTGCTGTTATTGTTTTGTGACAGATTTTCAGTTTAGGTGATCTTAATTGAGCTGTGATACGTGAGTTGGATTTTGTTACTCGGATCGTATAACATTATGAGAAATAACAAATAGTGCTATGTGATTGTTAGTGTTTTATTCTGATTGATTTTACTGAATTATTCTGCCATTATTTTTGAGTATTGTCAAATTCACTAAAAGCTGTTAACTTAATTGTGAATTACACAATTTTATGTAAGGACTACTTAATAAAACTGCCCATCATAATTTTTTTGACAAGTTTAGGCTATATTATCACTTAAGTACACTACAACTTACTCTTTCAGACTTCTTTAAGATTCAAATTTCTTTTGGATAAGTTCTTTCCTCTCGCCTTGTTTACACATTACGAAGAAGTATAGATTGTTAAGTTCTTCTGTACGAAGAAACCTTCGTCATTTATTCTTTTAAACATTATGTCATTGATAGTATACTGTCATAGTGGTTTATGTATTAATTACTATTCTGCAAAGTCATTTTTATCATAATTTTTGAATGAAGTGGTTTTGTTACTTCTTTAAGTTTATATATACACTTCAGCAAACAGTTGAATAAATACTTAATCTGATAAATTCTATTTTTACGTTGTAATTTACTATAAACTTTAATGAATCATTCAAATAATAACTCTTTTAAAGAAAATAGTATTCACTCAAATATATTTAGTTTTATATTTTCATTCGTTTATTTAACATAAATAATAGTGCAAGGAGGCACCAAATATATATGTGCCACACTTCATTCGATTTGTTCCTTTCGACTTTTTTTCCTCGTTTCTGATCATTATTATTTATATTGTTGTCTTTGTTCTAAATCTTTTATCTCTTCTTTTGTCTTGTCGATATAAAATGTGACACATTTGTGAAGACTGTAACTGATGATACGCAGAAGTTCACTTTGTAGTTGTATTCATGTGCATATAATTCAGTAAATATTTCTGAATTGTCTGTTTATACTGGAATTTAATAATTCATCTTAACGTTTTTGAAATTATGATGTACTATCAAGTTTAGCGAAGTTTTTTTTCTTTTTTTCAAATAAACAGATTGTATGAAAATACGTAACGTATTGTTTATCATAGATTTGAACAATTGTTTGATTGTACTCAGCTTGGAACAAGAGAATCAACGGGATAGTTATTATTTGTCATAGCTTGCAAATTCTGAGTTTAATTGTTTAAAGCAAGTGTGACTAATATCGTTTAGTGCAGAAATATAAAAAAAATACTGTCGAAATTTCCCTGTTTGTCAAACAAATATATCATAACAGTTCGTAATTCCGATAGTGTAATGACTACGCTATCATACATTTTCATCAAGTCCTCACTATACATCCCATAGTTTTTCAACTGACATTAGTTTATTAAACCGAACTTTAAATTTCTAAACTATCAGTTTAGAACAATGCTTTAGTCCCTCAAACGTTCAAATTTTAATTGTACTAAGTTATTAATACTTTAAACCCTATTCCACTAACTTTGTTTTGGACGACCAGATAAAATGTCTTCCGTTCGACCTAAAAATAGTCAAATTCACAGAACTATATTTCATTAAAAGTTGCACCATAAATTCATAATATTTTTTACACATATTTTTATTCTTGGATCATCGTTTCGCTTAATCTTATGTCTTTTTCAGAGGATTGTAAATCCGATTTGGGTAGCGATATACCAGTAAATGCTATGAATAATAACAATAATAGTGTTAACCACAAATCTCATAGAGGTATATTTACAAGGAGTTTTAAAAATCCCCTTTCGAAACAATTACATATTGGTGATTTAAGTACTGATGAGTTAGGTACTGCTGAAAAAGATCTACCATTTACAAACTCTGGATCTCTTGGGCGTAAAAGAACTGCACCGCGACCACCAAGACGTACTACACCAGTTAAACCGTTGAATTTCTTAACTGATTTCAATTCATTAGAAGATAATAGTTGTATTTACCCGAACTCCCATCGGGATGACTTTGATCATCCACCACTGCCACCTCCACCCCCACCAGTTCATCTTGATTCTAGTCATCATCAAATACATCAGCCCCGATCACAACAACATCCTCGTCTAGCACCACAGTCTAATAATAGTTCATTATCAAATAACTCGAACTCAACACCATTTTCAGTACCATCAGTTATGAGTAGTTCTGGTATGTAAATTATTTTAATCAGTTTACTAATTATATTTATGCTATAATTTGTGACGTTTGTTATTCTATGTGATGAGGATTGCTTTTTTTGGGACTTGATAAAATAAATTTTTAGGTTTACGTGATCAATATGTGGAAATATTTCCAAATTTCCGTATTAGGATTTTAGTATGTTTGGAAATATGAATGATAACTTAATGATTTGACACAATCATGCTAAGTTCGAGACCCTAAAGATTTTGATCTGATTTCATGTAGTATTGGGAGTGTTCAGATTGTTTAGGAGTTCCAAAATAGAATGAAACAGCTATCAGACAGTATTTTACCTCGAGTTAGTCAGTTGCTCGGTATGGATAATGAATGTTTACATAGGTTTAAAGGTTCGTCAGTCGACGTACAGGGTTCCACTCATTATTGTGTGCCTAGCCTTAGCATCATCAACTTAGTAGTCCTGTTTTACGCAAGCAGTAATCCAATAACATTCTAGAATACTTAAAACTTGCTTATTTTACTAACTGGCAGCAAGAATATTTCAATTCCCTTTAAGTAGTGCAAAAGAAGTTACCATGCAACCTAATTATCTTTTGATATATGTCTGTATATTTTTTCTCCAACGAAGTTACTTTTGGTTTTGTACTATTGAAAATGACTTAAATCCTTGCAAAACAATTTGGTTTCATTTAGTAACGAATAACCTACTTTGCGATTTTTGTTTCTCAAAAAATATATTAGAATTTTTTTATCTGTTAGCAAGTCATAGTTTGGATAAGTGCATGTTCCATGTAGTTTAATGTTGGGGGACTCTAACTAACCCATTTTCAGCCAATCAGCGCTTGAAGATGAGGAAGACTAGAATATTCTTGTACATAAATTATACATTTACTAACATTTTTTCACTTCATCTGTTACTCCCATTTAACTTGGTTTATTTGGAGTATGATCTCGTTCCTGTTCAACCGTCCTCTGATTTTGAGTAATAGTCAGATGAAGTGAAGTTTCCGAAGAATACCAAGCAATAAGAGTATCTGTCTCATATAAAGAGAGATTTTAACGACAGTAGATGACGATATGAGATTACTTGTTATCCTGCATACCCTAAACTGCCTCGTATTCTGTACTAAAACAGTAACAGAAAATATTAACTATTTTTTCAACTAAATACACTTCAAGAGACAATTACGTATCAATTATAGCATCTTACAAAACTATCTTCTAAGTAGATTGTAATTTTACTATGATTGTTTTCATCCTTTTTTCTTATATCACAGCAATTTTCCCATCTCGTCAATTTTCATATGTGGATCCTATTCCGTTAGATAACAGCCTGACAAGATCAATTTGTCCTGATCGTCTAATATCACCGCTTGCTCCTCCCACACCAAGTAAACATATTCAACTTTCTTCAAAGTCACCAGCTTTATCAAAATCCACTGTAAATTCGGATTTATCTAACAAGACTAATCCCGTTGTAGACCATTCCCACAATAAGCGCAGTGTGGATTCTAATTTTCTTAATGAATCTTATTCAGGGAATAATGTTTCTTCTAAGCAAAATGTTCATCCTGCCAATGTTTCATCGTCTGTCTTTCAAGAGGAATTACGAGATAGATTAAAACAACATTCTCAACAGCTTAAAAGTTCATCTCAGCTGAAACCGATTACATCTAAATCTATACTAAATAATTCACCTAGTAATGTTACCAATTCAGTGCTGTGTAATCAGGAAAAAAATGATTCAAAATCATCAGCTTCTAATTCTTCCCCTTACTTCACTATCCCCCGATTAAGACCACCACCACACTCTGCGAATCCACCTCGAATATCTTCGAATAATACTTCTGGATCCAGTAACAATCAAACATCAACACGTGGAAAAGTGGAGCCTCCATGTTGTCCTTCAGAATTGATCCGATCACTTGCATTGACCCAGATCAAAAGTGATAATACTTCTAATTCAACTGTCACTACGACCACCAAGTCGCCCATAAATATCAATAGTAATAATAATAATTCCCCAAAACCTCATTTCAAAAGGTCCGAAAATGAAATCTCTGATAAATTATCTGATATAATACAAAAGCGTTTAAGTTGGACTGGTCCAACTGATGATAATTCCGCTGGTAATCAGAAGCGGTCTCAACGATTATATCTACCTACTATATTTTCTACATCATCTACAGCATTGGACGAGACCAATGGTAATAATCACTGTGTTCCACCAACAAAACACCACTTAAAAAAGCATTTATCAAATATTTTAGGAGAGTTAGAACGTTTGATTCGTATGAATGAGAAAAAAGTTCCTGGAAATGTTACCTGCTCTCCCTCCTCCGCTGCCATTTCATCATCATCGTCATCAAATTTAGAACAGTTAATTGAGTTAGCAGATCAGATGGAAGCATGTCGACTTAGTTGTTCTGCATATATTGATCAGGCCACATGTTCAGCTCGAGCAAAATTTAGTTTTCGTGATCGATTCGCATGTTTACAAACATTTAGCAGTTTATTACGTTCTAAAAAACTCGATTCTACTTGTAATAATAATACTAATAATTTAAGTAAGTACAATAAAAATAATACGAATTTATTAAAAGACGCAGAGAATGCTGTCAAAGAAATTATTAATGATTTAGACAAACTAACCGATAATGTAAATACAACATTATCATTAGATACTACATTGAATAATTCAAATTTCCCAGAACATAAACCTAATTCAAATTTAGCAACATCCAATCAATCCAATTTGACTTGTACAGAAAACCTTAGTATTACTGACAATAGAAGCGCTACAGTTTTCACTTGATTTCTTTGCATCTATATGCATATTATTATCATTATTTCTGGTTAGTATTAGGGGATTTTACATCGAAATTTATTGTTTACCTGTTTCCAACATCTCCACAATGATATATATATATATATATATATATATATATATATATATATAATGATTGTGTAATTACTGCATTTTACCTCCATCATTCTTTGCTTGCTTTTCTCTGTCGATTTAGACAAATTCCTCTTTTTTATGTAAATGTTTACAAATTGAAAAATCTAATTTCATTTTTGTTTTATCGACATAGTTTGGCTATTTTCTTCTCATTCCTTCTGAATCCTCGAACTATTCAATGGCCCCTGCATTAAGAAGTGTATTAACTTGTTCGTTTCTGTTATTTTAGTTTATTTTCCTTTTTTTGTATTTGTCTTTTTTTGTTTTTACGTTCTCATGTAGACAAATCAGTCAATCTTTAACACATCTTTTTGATCCACTCTGCTATTTATCTGGAATACCTATACTTCACTCTTTCCTTCGATTTCTTTACAATCTAACTGAATGTATATAAATATGCCTATTTCAGCTCACTTCTTAATTTATACTGTTGTAAATAAAATGTTTTCAATTGTTTTTTTTTCGTTATTTCAATGTTCAGTCATTAATTTTATTACTATCATTACTTAATTTTCTCTTCTTTGTACTATTCTTCACCAATGTTCCAATAATATTGTTGTAGTATGTCTTTTGCGATTTGGTATCGGGAATGATTATTTTTTCAATAGAAAACAATATTTTTTTCTCACTTCCAGTCAGAAATAAAAAGTTTTGTCTTTGTTCTCATATTCAACTACATGCGCACAAATTTACTCAATCATTTGAATTCCAGGTGGAATTGTAAGGTTGATCAGTTAATATGAGATCTGTTTATTTTCCCTTAATTTATCCTATCATTTCATTTGTTTCTACCTTAATCCTGTATCACTGTTGGTACGTATTTTGATTACTTTAGATACTCTCTCTCCTGTCACATGGTATCTTCGTGCTTATTCTTTATCATTCTCCCCCCACCTATAATCTCTGCCTAACTGTGATCTCTGTGAAAAAATAATTACCATATATATAGTATCGTATTACCCTATTTTGTTCTTAACAGCTTACTACTTATCTCCATTTTTCGTGTTTTTCTAATCCTTCTCTCCATGTGTTTGTTTTCTGTGGAGTGTTATGGATCTGGTCATACTCATGATGAAATTAATAACTATCATTATTATTATTATTATTATTATTATTATTACTATTAGTAAGATTCTAATCTAATAATCAATATATAATAATTTTGTTTATAGTATTTGATTTTTGTGTGAATATAGGATGACCTATGCACACAGGTTGCACGTATGTTCATTCAATATTTTTAGATTGATTTTAATTAAGTCAACAATAGTATGTAACAGAAGAAATATGAGTTCATGTTTAAAAAATGTACTTTTTCCTAGAAAAAAAGTAGGGAATTAGATGTTTCTCACTTTCCGACAATAGACAACATAAAATCCTATATGATAATGTTTCCTATGCCAATTTCAAATCTAAAACTGTCTCTAAATTAAACACTGTCGCTTTTTTATTAGCTCTACTTATTTCAGTGTTATAAGCCATGCAGTTTTTACTGAAAGGTCGTTTCTGTACCTTTAAGCCTACTTGTTATGTAGAAAATACTAAAAATTCCATACTGACTTAACTGAGATGAATTTGCGTCGTAATGATTCAAGGGTGAATGTTAAAATCCCAAAGTCGTAGTTCCGATTCGCTTTACAGAAAGGACAACTGAGTTTGAAGTCAATGCAATACATACTTTTATTGTCCCAACTCACTTGTTCTTTGATTTGAAATTTGAGTAAAGTTATGAATCGACCTAAATTGCTTTACTTTACGTCGAGAAAGTGGAACAATTCTTTAAGAGTTTTGTACAAGTAACATGATGCTAGGTGGTTGTTAGTAATCGCATGGAGGCACTATACTTTGGTCTAGTATTAGTTCGGACTCGTTACCACAACGTTTCTGCAAACCGGAAGAAACGGGTGCTGTATATTCGTTTTGTATCCGCGTCAGCCATTGTCGCAGAACTTTTACCTCCGATCCATTCATGTCAAAACATAATGCACATTGAGTATGTACATTGCAATTTGTTTGGTTAAATTCGAATACTACTAAGGGCTAGACGTCCATTGTATTGATTACCACTCAATGACCAATCAGTATAAGTCGTTAAACAAGTAATGCTGCCAATTGTCAAGGATTTTGATGTTAAAACAGATGAAACAAATAAAGTGAGTAGTGAGCTGACTAATAATTAAATTGGATAACTTATTCAAATGGAGGTATATTTCTAAGTAAGGATTTTCGTCTCATGGTGAACCCCAATACTGATTTTGCAATTCTATATATCATAGGCTGATAACCTCATGATAGATCATCCTGTCTTTTTCTGAGACACTTGGGGATTGTGAATTATAATTATTTAATACCTTATTTAGTGAGAAAGAAGATGAGTTAAATCCTGACATACTCATTAAACTAAAACAGAAGCCATCTTCTAATTTAATTCTTTCTAGTATTTTATTGGTCGGATAAGTGTCTAATATAAAATATAACCTGAATCGCCTACATCAGTTAATGTTCTTTAGAACTCTTTACTCCTATCATTTTCACACACTTATCTTAGATATGTTCGTTAGTGTTTGTTTCCCCATATAATTTTCCGAAGTTTAACCTCATACTTGAAGATTCAATTATATATAGATCACATAGATAGGATAAATTTATATAGTGATAACGTCGACGAAACTCTTCTGAAAATCCTCAATGACAATGTGTTAACTCTTAACATTCTTCATTAAGACAAAATCGTAATTTTATTCATAGTGGTAGAGTATTTTCCATCGTAATTGGCTGATACAATGGTTGCATATAATCAATATGATTGAATTTTGAACTTTAGTGAACCCTTATTTGATATATGACATTCACAGTTGACATTGATGGTTATTCATAAAATGTATGTAGAGTTTGTGGAGACTTGAATTTTCACAATCTTCATGATGGAGTGATTTTAGGCAGTTCTTAATAATCATAAAGTATTGGAAACCTGTTTCGTTCTAGCATGGGATTCACCTGTGACCCCACCGTGGATCCAACTCATGACCTTTAGGTCCCATTGTGAACGCTTAATGTTTAGATCACTGAGTTGCAATCCAATGGATTTTATGTCTAGCTTGAGTTCCCGTAAAAGTCATGGATGTGCACTCCTAAGGAATCACGAAGATCAGTCCGTTGTGAAAATTATCAGTATTACTTAAAATATAATTGATTACTAACATAGCGATACTTGGAATTCATATAATAGGTAAATTTATCAAAAATTAAAAAGGCTTTTTTTAGGGTTGTCGTATTTGGAATAAAGTGATATATTATTAGAAAATTTGTTGCATCTTGAGTGAAGTATCGGCGTGACTATAATTTATGGACGGACCAATCAGATATAAGATAATGGGTCTTAGACTTTAGCGCGAAATTCATTCATCCATTTGGCTAAATAGAGTTTTGGTATTTTAGTTTATATCAGTTCGTAATGTAAAGCCTAAATCTACTTCCTAACCTTAACCATCAATTATAAATCATATTTCTCATTCTCAACACTAGTTCATAATCCTCATTTGATTTCAGTTATCATATGGACGCTATCAAGGTAAATTTAACGTCCCTGAAAGGTCGTCCATAAATTATTGTACTGATCATGAAGTGGTTTAGAATAGTTGATAATTATGTAATTTATGTGTATATTTGTGTTCAATAGTGTTACAGATACATATCTGTAAAAATCAATTTCGCCTTTTATTATTGACTTTTTATGATATAAATACAAATACTAACACATGCATGCGAATATATATATTGTTAACTGATATAAAATAAACATAATCATAGCCATAATTTCAAAAGTATTGATTTCCAATAAAGCATGAAAAGTATTTAGTTACTGTGTAATGGTGAATGAATTAAGATTTATTTATTTATTTATCAACGTAATCAGTTTTTATGAATTGAAAAAAATATATATCAAAATGAAAACCAAATTAAAACGGTCATTCGTTTCAAATATTATCGGGTTTGTTATTGATGACTGTACAATGATGACCTATATTAAATGAAAATGTGGGGGATATATATTAAATTACTCAAAGAAAATTTCAAATATTCTATCGAAACTAAGATGAAATGAGTAGGTGAATTTTACTAATAAATAATGTCATGGTATATCTAATTCACTAAAGATATAAAGACATTAGCACCATTGGATCCCGGCCAGCTCAGTAGTTTAGAGGCTAAGCGTTCGCGCACGAGACTGATAGGTCCAGGGTTCGAATCTCAGTGGATGTACACTGATGAGAAGTCCCACAACAGAACGAGACGGTCGTTCAGTACTTCCAGGTTTTCCATGGTGGTCTATCTTCAATTGCCTCATGGTTTCAACTATTGAGATATAAAAATGTCAAAATTAATTTTATGGAAGAAACATATATTGTTCGGTAGAAATTTCTTATAAACAATTAAGTTTTGTATAATTTGTGTTTATCCTAACAAAATTAAAGTAAGGATAAAATGTAACAGGCGGACAAAAATAACAAGTTTTCGAAGTTATAAGCTGATAATGACTACATTTTTAAAATAAAAAATATTTCAATGGTTGAGATCATGAGTCATTTGAAGCTAAACCACCGTGGAAAACATGGAAGCACTGTGTTCGTTAGTCAGTTGTGAAGAAATTTTAACTACTCACTTCTCTGTGGGGTATGTAATAATAATGTTCAGAAGAAGAATGAAAGCTATACAACTAATCCATTCAGCCCTGAGAACACGATATCCGAAATCTTCGCTTCATTAACGACATATCTTCTAACGGACTGTTTCGGAATATTCCTTTACACTGAAAGAATGCTTATAGGTAAAACTTCCGAGACTATAATTTATGGATGAACCAATCAGACTTGAAGTAATAAGTTTTGGATTTTGGCGCGAAATCCATCCATTCATTTGGTTATATAGCATTTTGGCATTATAGATGGCGTGATAAAAAACTTAAATCTAATTCTTAACCCTAAAGTACAGAGGTTAATCCTAATCCTGATTCTTCACACTTATTTGTAACTCAGCAAGTGCACATTATCAAAGTCAATGTAGCGTCACTCAAAGGTAGTCCATAAATCATAGTCTCACCCTAAGGCTGACTCAGGAAGAGTTGAAACGAGAGTAAAGGGATCATGCGCTGTACAGTGAATGAATCTTTGAATTGTAAGACTGTGAAAAAAGAAAGAATATTTTCAATTGTGAGCTGTATATGTCATGCACTCAAAACACTCCGTTATTCAACAGTGATATACTACAAGATATCATCCGACATCTGATTGTATCGTCTGAAAAACACCAGTTCTAGTTGTTATATACATTAAAATTGCTTTAGAACTGTAAACTTAAATCGCCTTATTTACCGAGCACAAGCTTAACAAAGAGTAGAAGACTTGATAACCCTGAGAAAATTTCTTTATTGAACAGAATTATTAGATCGTTTGAATTTGAATTTCGAGTTAGTTTTCTTTGTTAGCAATATGATTCCAACGTCATATTTATATAAACTTCCATTTAATTTATAAACTTATTCAAGTTAGCATTGGATATTATTCATTTCAACAGTAATTGTCTCATGTAGTTTAACATATAGTTCTAAAAGTAAATTCTACAATTTTAAAAAAGTGTATTTATCTTAAAAGTAATCATTCGTTTGGATAAATGACCTAAGGAGAACCAGAGGTGTATTTCTGAAAAACATTCTTTATATATATATATATATATATATATATTACTACAGTGTAAACTCTTAAACAAAAAACCTGGAGGCACTGTACGTCCGTATCGTCTTATTGTGGGACAAGATTCGAACCCATGCCTATCAGTCTTGCTCTCAAACACTTAACCTCTAGACCACTGAGCTGGCCGGCATCCAGTGGTGCTAAGGTCTAACTTCAACTAATCCAAGAAATTGAGCGGCTCGCACATCATTGTCTTCAGTGGGTTACTTACTTACTTACCTACGCCTGTTACTCCCAATGGAGCATAGGCCGCCGACCAACATTCTCCAACCCACTCTGTCCTGGGCCTTCTTTTCTAGTTCCATCCAATTCTTGTTCATTTTTCTCATATCTATCTCCATTTCTCGGCGTAATGTATTCTTT